GACCTCGAGGTTGAGAAACACTGTGCTATAGTATCCATGCACCTCCATTCTTCCAACTTCAAGCCAGGTTGATTAGTATGTGTGACATGAATGGGATTGATATTTCTATTACAAGAATGTAATCTTTATCACATTTTTTTTTAAAAAATTCTACTTAAAATATATATACAGTATCAACAAATGTAAGTATGGGGGTGGGAGGGACAAGAGGGGAGTTCCTGAAAACCGAAAAGGATATGGGACTGGATATATCTACATTAATTGTGTTATCAAGAAATTCACCTTCCTCATAGTTAGACATGGATATAAATGAATAAAAATGAATTTATTTTTATTTTTCCTTTTAAACCATTTTCGAATGCTGAAAGATCACTTCTTCACCTTTCTAAGAGTCTGGTCAGCTGTTTCTCCCGTTCTTTATGAAATCAACCTTTATGAAATTGTATAAGCTATATCAAATGAAATTAACCTCTAAAGTGTTACAAAAGTTCCAGGTCTGTAAAAATGCCTTGCTTAATTCTGGGCCTTGAAGAAGAAGAGAAGAAGAACTTTATTTTTCTACCCTGCCTCCATCTCCCTGAACGGACTCGGGGCGGCTTACATGGAGCCAAGCCCAAGGCAACATACAATTAAAAACAGAACAATAACAAATTAAATAGCATAAAACAGCATAAACAATAATAAACAAGCATCAAAAGCAACAGCAAACTAATTTTTGGAGGGGAGGAGGGGGCCATTATGTGAACTGGTTAAAGGATAGGGTGGTTCAATAAGGTGGATAGAAACTTATGGTAGCATAGGAAATAGCATGGAACAGAGCAATTAAACAGGATCAATTCGGCTTAACAAACATTTGAAATGAAATATAGGAATTCAGATTCAGGTCATGTTTCTTGGGACAGGAAATTGGTGAAAGCTAGCTAATATATGCAATTTTGAAGGTGCTAAGTATTTTGAACCAGTTGCTAAGTATCTGGACTCTTTTTGCCAACCCTTTGTCCCTCTCTGTGACTCCTATATCAAAGACACTAAGCACTTCATTAATGTTATAGAAAATCTCAAAATAGAGGAGGATAGTGTTTTAGTAACCATTGACGTCACTTCACTGTATACCAACATTCCATTAGATGAGGCCCGTACTACCATAGAGAATGTGCTCCATAACAGAACCAAGTCACACCCACCCACACATTTCCTTATGGATCTGGTAGACATAGTTTTGGAGAAAAATTATTTCCATTTTCAAAATCAATTTTACTTTCAGATCTTTGGTGTGGCAATGGGCAGTCCATTGGCCCCCTCTGTGGCCAATTTATTTATGGCAAATTTAGAGAAGACTGTATTATTAAATCCATCTTTAAATATGTATCACACCAATATCATATATTACGGACGATTCATTGACGACATATTCATGGTATTTAAATCAACCGAGGCCGCAGTAGGATTCTCTAATTGGATTAACACCATACATACGTCTATTAAGTTCACCAGCCATCTCAACCTGTCACATATTAATTTTCTGGATGTTACAGTCTATAAAGATCACAATAAACTTTTGGTCAAGAACTTTAGAAAACCCACAGATAAAAATTCTTATCTTCATTACAACAGTTTCCACCACTTTAGTTTAAAAACCAATCTTCCATTTTCACAGCTCCTCAGACTTAAACGGAACTCAAGCACCAAGGAACAGTTTATTCAGGAAAGTGTCACTTTAAGCCATGAGTTCAGAAATAGAGGCTACCCCAAACATGTAGTAAGAAAAGCATTAACCAAAGCTGATAAAATAGATAGGGCTACCTTACTGAAAGAATGCCCCAAACCCACAAAAAATCAAATTATTTGGACACAAGAACTATCGCACTATTCCAAACAGATTACCCGAATCATCAAAAAGCACTGGCATCTTCTTCAAGATATTCCAGGTTGCCAAAAACCACCCATTTTCGGTAATAGGCGTACTAAAAATATAAGAGACTTGTTAATCCATACAGATTTAACCACATCTACTACTACACCTAAAAGCACTTTGAGAGGCCATTACCCTTGTGGACGCTGTAAATGTTGTCCGCAATCATGGAAAACTAAGGAGGTACACAACTATAGGAACAAAGTGGGCACCACGCTCAAACATTTTTCCAATTGTAACAGCAGTAATCTTATCTACCTTCTAACATGTGACTGTGGTTTATGGTATATTGGAAAAACAACAAGACCTCTGAGAATTAGAATTTCTGAACATAAATCTAGAATAAAATGTTTATCTATGGAGTCCCTCCTATATTCACACTTTACACAACACAAACATTCATCCAATTCCCTCAAATTTTGTGCTCTGGAATGCATCACACCAAAACCCCATATGAATTTGGAAGAAATATTATCCCAAAGGGAAATGTTCTGGATCTTTAAGTTGAAAACCCTTTCCCCTCAAGGACTTAACGAGTCACTTAATTTGAGCTGTTTCCTTTAAGTTTCTGATTACTCTTTATAAACCTGTGGATGACCCTTCAGAATTACTCGCAGTGTGAATTTACTTCTAGCAGAGTCACTTTTTGTATTAGCTACTTGGCATGATGTGAGTATATGTTATATGTTTGATGTATCCATTATCTTCACTACTGTAATTGTGCTGGAAAATACTTGTTACTCTATGTGATGTTATGTTTTGTTATAGATAAGAGTCTAGAGTTGCTGAATTTATCAACTCCTGAGGAAGGGGATTGCTTTCCCCGAAACAGGGTACAAAAATACCCGGGCACCCCTGTTGAATGCCATTGGGACTTTTCTTTGAAGACTTATTTTGAGAAGCAGTGCTCCATTTTTCACTGGACTTGAGTTGGATCTTTTCCATGAAGATTGTTTTGAGAGTGGCGCTTCATCTTCATTATTGTCTTCAGTTTACATATAGCCTCATGACTCTATGCTTACTTTGTTTATATGACTTTTCTCATTGAATGTATCCCTGAAGCCTATACACAGTGGAATCCCTATCCAAACCCAGAACTGTTACGTTTGAGAGCGGTTGCTCCTTTTGATTTCTGTGTACCACTGAATTGAGCTTTGTACTGGGGATTTTGGTAAATAGAATATTATATGTTTTCTTGATAATACACTTTGACATTACGCATAGATTGTTTTGTGTTTGTACTGAGATCATAGCTATTGGTAGACATGGATCAGCAGATCTGCCGTAGGCGAGACTAGCCCATTAGTTCATCAACTGATCCCAATCACCCTTTTGTGTTTTCTAGTCTATCCCTTCGTGTTTACTTGAATTGGACATTAAGTCAGTCATGGGACATTTGGCATCAACACATTCATGATTTCATACCCCTCACCGGGGTGGACCTTCAAAGGAACTTGGACTTTAAATCATCCAACTACAGGTGATCCTTTCCCCCCGCAATGGGGGAAACTCCTACAGCTGGTGACATTGGGAGGAATCCCTAACTAACAAGCAGATCTAAGAGGGATGAGTTTTCAGTCAATCAGGGAGTTTTGAATGACTGTCAAAGTGGATAAAATGCATGCTTTATGTTAGTTCTTTTGAGCACAGACTCTGAAGTGACATCCTTTTCTGACCAGAAAGAATAAACCTTGGGTTCACTTTCCCTTCAGGTGCAGTTCATTTTTTAATCTGGCCTTTGGAGTAGCAAAGTGTGCCAAATTCTGGACCCAATGTTTGAATTAGCTGAAATATTTGACAATTATCACAAACTAGCTTGGGGACCCAGCGGTGCCCAGGTTATTTGAGAAAGGCATTGTGTGCCAAGGTTGGTCTTTATCAATTATTTATGTGGCTCGCAGTGTTCTCAGGAAGTTAGTGAAGGTACAATGAGTCCCATCTTCCATGGTACATCCTCCTCCAAACTGCACGAGGATGAAGACTGGGTCATGGGGGCTCTGTGTGCCAAGTTTGGTCTTTGTTGGGGGCCGGAGTGGTCTGTGTGAACCAAAGGGTTGGGAAATCCCATCATTCATTGTCCATCCTCCCTCAAACTTCACCAGGACATAAAGGGGGTCATGGGGATTATGTGTGCCAAGTTTGGTCTTGATCAGTCATTGGATGAGGGTCACAGTGGTCTCAGGAAGTGAGTGGAGGTACTTCAAGTCCCATCATCCATGGCCCACCCTCCTCCAAACTGCAGTAGGATGTAGAGTAGGTTTAGAAATATTCTGTGCACAAACCGATCAAGTTTGTGTCATATTGTGTGAACATGAGTCCAGCTATAATGCCTGCTTTACAAAGTGTTTGTTTGTCAGGAAGTCTTGAGAAATAGAACATTTCATCATCAGGACTGTGGGAATACTTAAAACCAACCTCTTGACACCAAAGACAGTCAAGAAGAAGTGGCATTGCCTGCCAGGATTTAGCTGTTTCCTAGTGAGAAAGAGAGGAATAAACCAGAACTAAAGGGAGAACCACATGATTTTAACACGCCAAAGCAGAATGATCAAATGCTACTGAGTAACTGAACTGAAGAAGTTTCTCATCTCAACGGAGTCCTCCTGATAAGTAACATTTGCTTTTAATTTACTTTTCAAATACAATTTTGATAGTTTAGGAAATGTAATATGAAAATACTTCTGACAAGATCAATCTGATTTAAGATTCATATAAACCAGTTCAAAGTAGATTTAGTAAATAATCTGGCAGTGTAGATTCTGTTTTAAGACTTCATCAGACGAGGGTTTGTCTTCCCTTTCATCAGAGTCTACTGGCTCCCATTTCACGATGCACAGCTACTTCTGGTGGGGCTCTGTGGTAAATGGGTAGACGAACCGGCACATCCTGTCATGGCGGCAACACAGGAGGGTTCCCATGTTCAATTGAGATCAATGTGGGAAAGCCAGGTGGCAGACCCTTTCCCCCATGGGATAGGATGATGGGTGAGTTCATCTATACAGGGCATGGGGTGACAGTTTCTCCACACCCTGCGATGGGCACCACTGGATTCGTCACGATGCGTGGTGATTCTGGCAGCCCATCTGATGAGGTAACTAGAATAGAAACAGAACTAAAATAAAAACTCGCTAGAGTCCACGGCTGGGATCTGATTAAAAATGCATATATTTGGAAGGGAAAATTATGAAACCTAAGCATTTTATGTGAAGCACCAGAACTGAATGGAGTTCACATTCCTTTCACACAAAATCCTACTATTGGTTAAACTTTTTAAATTTCAGCAGTGCGCTGGTGTGGTGTCACCCTAATTTTGTTGTTACTGTTAAATGACTGGAATGCTATCACTTTACTTACTTACTTTCTTAGGCGATCCCTCGTAGCTTGAGGATGATTGTCTTGCAGATGTGGTGTCTTGGCGGTGGGTCCGTAGGTGGCTTTGGAGCCCTATTCTTGATCTGCATCTTCTCCTGCAGTGAGGACCTCAGTTTCCAGGTGGAAGGTGGTCCCGGTCAGGGTTGGCATGACACACCTTCCTCTTGGCACATTTCTCTCTTTCACCCTCCATTTGTGCCTTTTTGAATTCTGCAGCACTGCTGGTCACAGCTGACCTCCAGTTAGAGCGCTCAAGGGCCAGGGCTTCCCAGTTCTTGGTGTCTATGCCACAGTTTTAAAGGTTGGCTTTGAGCCCATCTTTAAATCTCTTTTTCTGTCCTCCAACATTCCGTTTCCCATTCTTGAGTTCGGAGTAGAGTAGCTGCTTTGGGAGACGGTGATCGGGCATTTGGACAACGTGGCCAGTCAAGTGGAGTTGATGGTAGAAGAGCATCGCTTCAACGCTTCAAACCTTTGCTTCTTTCAGCACACTGACATTTGTCTGCTTGTCTTCCCAAAAGATTCTCAAGAATAGTTGACCAAAGTAGAGCTGTAATGCATGCCCCCCCCCATTTAAAGAAGAAGCTAATATACCAGTTGTTGGGTGAGGGAATAACATTTTGTTGGAGGCATAACAGAATCAAAGCAATCTCCTTCCCCAAAACATGCTAACTTAAAAATTGTTGTTGTGGTTATGTTTCTGGCTGTTGTTGTGTGTCTTCAAGTGTGACCTAAGGTGTCATATCTTGGGTTTTCCTAGCAAGCTAAAATCAAATACAATTATAGTAGAAATATGTGTATCAAAATGTCCTCACTTCACAGTTCATTCCTATACTGTTCCTCCTAGTCAGAATATTGGACTGAAGTAAATATTAGGGGTGTGTAATTTTTCATAGGAGCCCCCGGTGATGCAGTGGGTTGAACCGTTGAGCTGCTAAACTTGTTGACCGGAAGGTCACAGGTTCGAATCCTGGGAGCGGCGTGAGCTTCCACTGTCAATCCCAGCTTCTGCAAACCTAGCAGTTCAAAACATACAAATGTGAGTAGATCAATAGGTACCCCTTTGGCGGGAAGGTAACGACGCTCCATGCAGTCATGCCCACACATGACCCTGGAGGTGTCTACGGACAATGCCAGCTCTTCGACTTAGAAATGGAAATGAGCACCACACCCCAGAGTCGGACATGACTGGACTTAATGTCAAGGGAAAACCTTTGCCAAGCCAAGCCAAAAAAGGCTGCCATTCCTCTTTAAATGAATGGCCTCTTACCATTAGGAGAGGGAAGCAGCAGGGAGAAAGCAGAGTTTGCTGTGAAAGAGACTGAGAAAACACAACCCTAGTAAATATCTAGAGAGGATACATCTTTAAGAATTTGTTAGGTCCTCCAGCATGTTTCTATGGTAACTTTTGGCAAAAGTTGATTACTTCAGCATGGTTCACTATTATTGACATTTTTCTTTATTGAGGGGAAGTTGAAAAATATATCTCCTGCAGATATAGGAACTGTGATGATGATGGAAATCCTTTACTGTGATCATATGGATAAAATTGCACAGGTTTAACCCCTTCCCTCTGTAATCTCTTATCAAAAGACCAACTGATTTCAAGGGTTTAATCTCTGCTGTTGATTTTGTTGGAGTTTTGTTTGCAATCCTCTACAATTTCCTGCAAGGAGACATGAGTACATGGGACTTCTGATTGTGCCCACTGAATGCCAATGAAACACTATTAAAATGTTTCAGATTAGCTGCTATGGACTGGTGGCATCTGGCTCCTGGAATAATCCTCCTATTCATCAAACTTACAGGGACCTCCCTGTTTCTTGTTTTCAGTGAGTATTGCACAATTTTTAGTTTGAGTATTTATCTGGAAATAGATTTTCTAATTTAGCAACTCTTCCTCTTTTTGTCATGTACGCCTGTGTAACGGAATGAGAATTCTTTAGTTTTTAAATATGGATTTTTCATCTGTCTATCTGGGACAAAGATGCACACACAGAAGCTAATACAGATAAATACTGGGAGTTTATTTATTTATTTACGACATTTATATGCCGCCCTTCTCACCCCGAAGGGGACTCAGAGCGGCTTACAAGTAATATGTAAATACAATATATATTATTACCATAGCACAATATTAGTATTATATACTGCTATATAATACTATACCATTATACTGTAATATTATTAGTAATATTACATGAAATATAAATATATATAATTATTATATTGCATTATTATTAGTATTGTAGTACATTATTATGATCAATATGATATGTACATACAATATATTATATTTATTTATTTACATTATTTATATGCCGCCCTTCTCACCCCGAAGAGGACTCAGAGCGGCTTACAAGTAATATGTAAATACTATATATTATATTATTACCATAGCACAATATTAGTATTATATATTGCTATATTATTAGTAATATTACAGGTAATATAAAATATATAATTATAATATCGTATTGTTAGTATTATATTGTTTCATGTCCTATGGGCTTGTAAACATGTTTAGCATCTGTTGCTTAAATCTCACTGTCCGTCACAAATAGAGTAAAAACAACGAATCAATAGAAACTTTAATTACATGTTTTCCATGTCTCAATGCACAAGGCTACAAATGACAACAATGAAATGATAGTTAATAAATTATATAGGATGTTTCCAAAATGGTTTGAAATATTTTATACTTCCTTTTAATGTAAATAATATTTATTATAGCAATATTACAAAAGGAACCAAACCTGAAGGTGCATCTGCACTATAGAATTACTGCAGACTGACACCAGCTTAACTACCATGGTTCAATGTTATGGAATCCTGGGTTCAATGTTATGGAAACTCTGCCAAATTACATTGGAGCCCCCCGGTGGCCCCCCGGTGCCGGCAGGACTGAAGACAGACAGGTCGGAGGTTTGAATCCAGGGAGAGCATGGATGAGCTCCCTCTGTCAGCTCCAGCTCCCCATGCAGGGATATGAGAGAAGCCTCCCACAAAGATGTTAAACATCAAAACAACCAGGCATCCCCTGGACAACGTCCTTGCACATGGCCAATTCTCTCACACTAGAAACAACTTGCAATTTTTCAAGTCACTCCTGACACACACACACAAAAACCAAACACAACTCCCAGGATCCCACAGGAATTAAAATAGTGTCAAATTGCATTAATTCTGAAGTGTGGATGCACTCTTCATGTTCAGAGGTGTAAACGGTCTAGATTCTATTGCTCGTCCAAGCTAGAGCAGACCCAGGGCCCTTCCACACAGCCCTATAACCCAGAAATTCAAGGCAGAAAATCCCACAATATCTGTTTTGAACTGGTTTATCAGAGTCCATACTGCCATATATTCTAGTTCAAAACAGAAAATGTGGGATTTTATTCAGCTGTGTGAAAAGGGCCCCAGTGAATCAATTGGATTGACATAACACTGGCTATTTAAGTTTATCGTAACAACTGGATTTAGGCTAAGTGATTTCCCCTGCCCATGTTTGCTCTTAGGCAACGTCTCCTTCATCAGGCAAGGATATATAAATGCTCTTACTCTGTACTGTTTTTTAGCAACAACTTTAAAGAAACAATCACCAAAGCATTAAAACTGTTCTTGTTTTTAGTGCCAAGCATCTTCCCCCATGGCAATGTCAGTTCTGTTCATGAAGACAACTGGACAGGTAATTCAACAATCTGGGGGATTTCAGAGCTTGGTAACTTGTTTATTATTATCCTTACTGTTAAGAGGAAACTACTTTCCAAACCCCTCATTCTAGAACTCAAAATCCATGGTTTGACTTACTCATGCTCCAAATAACTTCTTCCTTGGAAGTGTTTGTGGACCTCTATAGACCCCTCGGAGTGATTCTATGGTTGGCTTCTGGCCAAAAATATAGGGTTAGCTATCATCCAGGTTTTCGGTATCCACAGCAGGGTGCATATGTGTCTTGGAATGTATCTCACACAGATAGAGCGTCATACTGCTTGCATGTTCATGTATGAGATATGCTTTCCACAGAAAAGTAAACACCAGGCAGACACCATATGTTGGAGAGAAAAGGCTACACTTTATTTGTTTACAGCTATAGACAAGGGTTGGCCATATGTGGGACCACATATGCAGGCAATGACTATGCTGCAGATATGGCTCTGTACTAGATGCCATGAGAGATATGTGCATGTGCTGCTCCAGCCATGGTCTCAGCCACTAGGAGTGTATGTGGCAATTACTGATCTCCAACTGGGTAAGACTGAGTCCAGATCACACCTGAGTCTCCTGATGATATCAACCCAAGATTGAGTCCAGATCACACCTGAGTCTCCTGATGAGATCAACCCAACACAATCAAACGATGGAGTACACTGGTCACCTGATCCATAACCCATAAAGATGTTTGCTCCATAAAGATGTGACAAAATAATAATATACATATACCCTATAAGTCATAGGGGTGGGCAGGAAGGAGCTTGGAGTGAACTGAGAGCTCACTCCAGTGCCTGTATTTATATTTAGTAACCCAACAGAGTGGAAACCACAACTGGAACACTCTCTTTGGGTGAATGGGCTGCCTGCCGGCCAGCCAGTGTTGCAATCCTGTGGGGAGGCTTCTCTCATGTCCCCCAGGAAGCAAGTACAATTAATCTAATGTGTATTTACACTATAGAATTAATATAGTTTGATTCCACTTTAACTGCCATGGCTTAGTGCTTTGGAATACAGAACTTGGTGTTGTAGTTCCTATTGAACTGATCTACAGTTTTAAAGTCTGTGGCAGTGCTATAGTGAATGTTTTCAAGGTAGACAGATGTTAAAGATATTTTATTTTACAGTATTGCATACTACAGAAAACCTGCACAAAGTGACGACTATTCTTCCTGTGAGAAACACAGCTTCAACCACAGTGAAAGGTAATATTGTGGGGAAAGAATACTTATTATGTTTTTCATAATGTGATGTTAATTTATACACAAATGGATTGCATGGATGGAAAGCATCCTCAAAGACACAAGATGCAGGTGGAAGTATTATCCAAGTAAAATCACTGTAGCACCCATATTTTTTCTGTATACAGTTTGCAGTGTCTGTAGTAAGCAACGTTCTATGGCAGACAACTCTTCTGATTAATGTGGAACTATCTATGTTAGTAGGCTTGACAGAAGATGAAGATAAATAAGATGCACAGATTAGGAATGCAGTAGGCCTTCCACATTTGTGGGTTTTCCTTTTATGGATTTTATTAAAATATTCTCGCTAGAAATCTGCTTTGATAATCTGGATTATATAGCAATGTAGAAGGGGCCTAAGTGTTTCAGTGAAGCTCTATGGTCAATTTCTGCCAGAAGTTGCCCATAGAGTTATGCCGGAGAATCTACAGCAGGGGTGTCAAACACATTTTCATTTATGGCCACACCAGCCATGTATAAGGTTGCCTTCAAAGGGCCATTGAATCCATGGATGGAGAATCCAGGAAGACAGAGGGCCAATTATCCTTTATTTACATAGTGGTCAATGCTCTTTGGTTTTTACCCTGTTTGGGTCCCCAGATGTTATTAAATGACAATTCCCACCACTTTTGATTGCCCTCCATGTGGACTGGGGATAATGGGAATTGCAAGCCCACAGCACTTGAGGCTCTGAGGTTGGGCAAAAGTTAAAAGACATTTTAAAAGTCAGACACCATATCCACAAGCCTTGAATCTAAATTCAGATCCTACTATCCTGACCGAACAGAACAAACTGCAGCTTTCCAGAGGTTACTATATCACAACTCTCATCAGCTCTGGTTGTGATGTCTAATGGGGAGGAATACAGGAGTTGTAGTCCAATATCTGGAGGGACATATAAAATGACATGGTAGACCAGATTTGGCCTGCAAGCCTTGAGGCTGACATATGTGAGTTAGAGAAATGCAAGACACTCGGTTCCACCCCCTTCACAGGTGTGGCTGATGAGGATGAGGGACAGGGCCTTCTCAGTGGCGCCCCCTTGGCTGTAGAACTCCTTCCCCAGTGAAATCAGATCAGCTCCTGCCCTTTAGAAAGAAAGTTAAAACCTGGCTATGGAACTAAGCTTTTGGAGAGAGTACAGGGCAACATGCAGCTACTAAGGGAATGTAACGTAATCAGAACAGCTTCTGGATTATGATTTTGGGTCTACGTGCAATGCTTAACTGCTTATTTGATATATTTATATGGTATTGTTTTTTATTATTTTAATGCAAAATGTATTTTGTATTTATGTTTAATGCTGCATTGAATATTGCCGATTTGGAAGCCATTCTGAGTCCCCTCTGGGGTTGAGACAAAGCAGGGTAAAAATGCAGTGAATACATAGAATAACTAAATAAGACACAGGCAGAGATGCCATGGCAAATGTTTACATTCTGCTACTAGTGCACCTGATAAACCCTCATTCCTTGCATTGAGCATTAGTGCAAAAGGGTGTTATCTGTGTGCAGACATGTTCTTCACATGACGTGACCAAAATTGTAGCATGATCACTAGAGTAAGCAATCCCCCCATTAAGTGAAAGAGCCAACGTGAAAAAAACTGAACATGAGTAGAATCAATTTCACACCAACACGGAATGGAAAGAGCTTGAAGTAGAGTGGGGTTGTTCCAAAGGATATGGCAATTCAGTACATTTCAGCTGTTCACTCTACACACATATTGTCATTGGATGCCTTCAAGTCATTTCTGATGAATGGCAACCTAAAAGGGTGAAAGGTTTGACCTTGGGAACGCAGTATCCAAAGAAGAGGTTTGAAGGAAGCAAAGGGTGTACAGTGTTCCCTCGGTAGTGTGCGGTTCGCTTCCCACAGACTCGCTGTTTCGCGGTTTTTAAAAAAAAATAATTTAAAATACAAGTAGCGAAACACTGTATATGCTGCCATAGATTTGTGTTGCCGAGTTACTAACAGACTGGTGTGTGGTTAGCTGGCGAAGGGGTGCAGAGAGGGCTGCCAAGGCAGCTTCTGCCGGGGCTTCTTCCCAGTCGCTTCCCAGGGCTTCTTCCTCCAGGCCCGGAGAAGGCCACCAAGGCATCTTTCACTGGGGCTTCTTCCTCCGGGGCTGGAGAGGTCCCTCAAGGCAGCTTCCACCAGGGCTTATTCTGCCAGGGCTGGAGAGGGCCGCCAAGGCAGCTTCTGCTGGGGCTTCTTCCCGGTCGCTTCCCAGGGCTTCTTCCTCCGGGGCCAGAGAGGGCCACCAAGGCAGCTTCTGCCGGGGCTTCTTTCGCTAGGGCTGGAGAGGGCCACCAAGACAGCTTTTGCCGGGGCTTCTTCCCAGTCGCTTCCCAGGGCTTTTTCCTCTGGGGCTGGAGAAGGCCGCCAAGGCAGCTTCCACCAGGGGTTCTTCCTGGTCACTTTTCCTCGGGTGACTGGGTGAGAGCCCCATGTGAGTGGGGAAGCAGGGAGGGAAGGAGAAGGGTGGCTCCAGTGAGGGGAGGGGGGAGAGAGAGAGCAAGGGAGGGGAAAGAGGAGAGAGAGAGGAGCAGGCGAGAGGAGTGGACGGAGCTATACTGTGTATATATACAGTATAGCTTCCCTATATCACACTTTTTCACTTATCACGGGCGTTCCTGGAACGATATGTGAGGGAACACTGTACTGTAGTAACTGTATTTTGTTTGTCACATTCCTACATTCAACGTCCTCACTGCTTGGATTGAACTTATTCATACCTTGTCTCTTGCATGTTCTTTGCAAGCTCCTGCAGCTCCTGTTCCTTTGAAGTGGGAAGGATATCAAGGAAGTGATTACTGGTTTTCTGAAACTGTGGCTATCTGGTCCAGCAGCCGAAACGAATGCAAGAAGCAGAACTCCGACCTAGTGATCATCAAGGACAAAAATGAACTGGTGAGACTGTGGCCACTTTAAGGAAAACAGGTCATCCCCTGGAGTGCACACACATTTAAATGATTAGCTTTGCCTGAGAGGAGAGTTTGCATGAATGCCTGCAGAAAATTCTATGATGTTAAGGAATGCTGCACGATACTGTGCAAGCCAATATTCTGCAGCATTCCTGTTACCTTTGATAGCAGCTCTTTACAGTCACAGTGGGTGACATTGCAGATGTCATTTGCTTCAAAAACATTATTAAAAAACTTTTATTTTCTGCTGGGAGGAGGTGAGGATGCCACAACAGAAGCCCAGGCTACAATTGCAAGAAGTAACTCCTGGCTTCATTGAGAGGAAGTGGCAGACAGGTATTGCATGATATTGTGCAATGGGGACTGTCCCCTTTGGTGATGCCAGCTTCTACCTCCGTATAATAAATTCCCTACACAAAAGAGACAGTCTATCAATTTATGATGGGTAGGTAGTTTGGAGGCCCTGGTGGCACAGTGGGTTAAACCGCTGAGCTTGTTGACTGAAAGGTCGCAGGTCCGAATCCAGGGAGCAGCATGAGCTCCCGCTGTTAGCCTCTGCTTCTGCCAACTTAGCAGTTTGAAAATATGCAAATATGAGTAGATCAATAAGTACTGCTCCAGTGGGAAGGTAAGGGCGCTCCATGCAGTCATGCCTGCCACATGACCTTGGAGGTGTCTATGGACAATGCCGGCCATTTGGCTTAGAAATTGAGATGAGCACCACCCCCCAGAATCAAACATGACTGGACTTAATGTCAGGGGAAAACTTTTACCTTTACCTAGGTAGTTTGGTGTAGTTACTAGTGATATGTAGTTAGTATTTTGTTTTTGTAGTGTATTGAAAGTATATATTTATATTGTGTATTGGATGTTTGTCCTTATATGAATAATGATTTTTTACTTTTTAAAGGGGCAGTCTGTATGTATGGGAATGTAAATCAATTCATCTCTCACACCGCCATCCTGCCCATATGTAATGAATTATACTTGCAACTGCAGCGCACATGTATACTTGCTATTCACTCCCATTGCTTTTTTTGTTCCTGCCAGGAATTTATTTATAATAAAACAACATCATTGGATTATTTTATTGGGCTGTCATACGTAGAGGATGAGAGAAAATGGGAATGGACTGATAGCACCGAACTCCAAAGAAATCTGTAAGTTCCCTCTTTTATTTAATCTCTCATTGTTAGAGAATCACCTGAACTACTTTCTGGCTGGTTTAGGGAAGTGCAGTAAAAAAAGTGCCTTTTCCAAGTTCCAACTTCAATTTAGGAAGTTCTCTTAATTTTGTTTAGTCACACCATTTATCCATCCAGCTCAATATAGCCTATCTGACTATCTGAGGCCCCTTCTACACTGCCATATAATCCAGGTTATCAAAGCAGATAACCCACATTATCTGCTTTGAACTTGATTATATGAGTCTACACTGCCAAGTAATCCAGTTCAAAGCAGATAATATGGATTTTATATGGCAGTGTAGAAGAGGGCTCAGATTTCAGCCTCTCCAAGCGCCTGCTAACTGTTCATTTCTTTCCTTTTACAAAAGGCAGATGCCAGAGATTGAATCTGGCACTGTACTACTGAGCTTTAACCCTTTGCCAACTGGATGGGAAGTGGCAGTTTGTGCATGGCATGAGCCTTAGGGTATGTGAATCTCCCTCCGTGGCCTGTATCTGGAGATGTGTCGTAAAGTTTCTCACAGGCAGAATTATGACACTTCTCCTCCTTCCAGAACTCATCTTTTATCTATTACAGCTTCCACTCCATAAACGTTTAGAGTATGGGGCATCGGAGAAGGGTTTTCCTACACCCTTATAACCAGGTGCAGAGTGCTCACATTGTATGTCAGGAGCTCTAAGGTCCCTCTCTTATGTGACTGTAAGTTACTAAAAGGATGGAAGGGGAAAGGGAAAGAGAAGAACCCAAACCAGATTTGCTTCTGGTTTATAGAGACCTTTGATTTGGGGGCCCATGGAAGCATCTGGTATAGGAATCCTGTCCTTTTTGACAAATGGTTGCTGTAAGGATTTTGCATTCATTCTTTGAGTATTTTTAGAGGGCCACAGATCTCAATGGATGGGTTTGTATTGGGGGATGCCACATCTTACAAAATGAAAATCCCCCTTTATCCGACTTACCAGAAGTCAGCAAAATGTAGTCATCCCTGGTTTCAAAATGTTCATGACACAAAATTGAAATCAGTTAACAACTCAAATTTTGGGACACATTTGCAGATTACAACATACACAGCAGTTTGCAAAGAAGATAGTGGATGGTTTGTATTTTTGTCTATAAAGAGGGAGAAAGAAGAGGCAAACGTTCCTCTTAAACATAATACTTAGCAGAAGGAGAAAAGCATTGGTTCTCTAGATGTTTTGGACTACAAATCCCTTTCTTATTATTCATAAGTAGAGCAGATGGGAGTTTTGGGTCAAAACAAGTGGAGGGCAAAGATTTCCAACCTCTGCTGGAAAATAAAAAAGTGAAGGAAAAAGACAATGACAAAGAAAGAGACAAGAAGAAAAATATCAATGTATTAAAATATAAAATCACGAATCTCAAGTTGCAAGATGAGTGAAAATATGGGTCCTGAGTTTGCCCTAGAGAGTTCTTCCTGTAGGGTTTTCAATTTCAATTAGTAGGTCCATGTGCTTCTCCCTCTTACCAAACTGAAGGCAAAATAAGACATTAAGGGGGGTGCACATACCTCATGAGGCAGCATAATGTAGTAGTTTGGGTGTTGGACAATGACTCTAGAGCAGTGGTTCCCAACTTGTGGGCTGTGGCCCACTGGTGGGCCGTGAGACCTAAAAGAAGGTCCCCGGTTCTAGATTTTTAAATATGGTTTTTTGTGGGCAAGCAGATGGCAACTACTAGATGGCATATGTTCTGTATCAGAAACTAGATCTGATGTGGTCTATCCAATGCAATTTTTTGAGTCAGCACTCCAAATAACCAAACCGAATGTAATGCTGACCAAAAACTGATTCATAACCCTTTTGGTACTAATGTTGGGGAGTGATCCCTGGTCAAAATTGGTCCCTGGTCAAATAAAGGTTGGGAGTCACTACTCTAGAGGCCAAGGTTCACATCCTTATTCAGTTACCTTGAGCAAGTCACATATTTTCTGCCTCAGAGGATGACAACCCTCCTCTAAACAAATCTTGCCGACTAAACCTTGCGACATGTTCACCTTTGTTGTTACTAACTTCTGTCAAGTTGTCTTGACTTATGGCAACCCTATGAACGAAATATCTCCAAGTCCACCCTATCATCAACAGGTCTCATAGACTTAGGACATGTGTGACTTCCTCCTTGACTGAGAATATATCCATTTGGTCTTCCTCTTTTCCTACTGACTCCCACTTTGCCAAGCCTTATTGTTTTTTCTTTCACGAAATGGCCAAAGTATGACCGCCTCAGTTCAGGTGGTCATACTTTGGCCATTTCGTATGACCGCCTCAGCGTCTAAGAAAAATTCAGACTCAATTTCTCCTAGGACCATTTATCGTCCCTCCCCCTGCCCCTGTAGTCCATGGTATCCATAGACCTCCAGCATCACATTTCAAATTAATTAATTTTCTCCTTATCAGCTGTCTTCATTGTCCAGCATTCACAACCATACATAGAAATGGGATCTATGATGGCAAGAAGTTTAATATTCAATGATATATCTTGACACTTCAAGTGAATCTTAGTTACACCATAAGTCAAAATTATTTGAAGACACACAACAACAATTTTTTTTACAGCAAACCGAATTTCTCTCACACAGTGGGATTTCTTTGTAGATATGTGCTTCAGTAATCAAACTAATTAAGCCTGTGCTTTATCTTCCAATGCCAATTGCAAAGCAATGAACGCTAAATGCAAAGTAGTAATTGAAAAAAATCATGTGCAAGCAGATGTTTCCCACAATTTAAGTGATAAATTTATGATCTAGATTGAATCCCAGATAAATTAAACAGATGTGAGTTAACAGAAATGGGATTTAGTAATTGGTTATATTCAAGAGCATGACATGCAGATTTAGCATTCTAGCGAAAATAATAGCCGATTGTTTGTCATACTTTGTTCTGCTTGCTTTTCTTCATTGTTTGTCTCCTCTTGGTTGTTTCCCAGCTTTACAATGAGACAACCTGAAGTGGGAAATGACTGTGCGACTGTCAAGGCAAGAGAAGTGAGTCCAACATCATGCTTTAAAAAAAGCCACTGGATCTGCAAGAAATGATAACCACCCAAAGATTATAACATATAGAAATATGTTATTATAATGTGTGCTTACAATAGACAAATATTATCTGTTCAAATATGCTATTGTCTTTTCAATAAATAATAATAATAATATATTAAAAACCACCCAAAGATTATAGAAGAGACAAACTATGAGCACAAATTCCTGCTTATTAAAAGAGTATATCTTATCATGGTCTTACTTCATTGTCAGCTTTCTATTATTGTACTCATTTCTGTTTTGTTATTGTTGGCATGTCATTATCAATTGCTAGTAGAGTATACTGTGGAGTATTTTTTGCTCTCAAAATCTTATATCAAGCAATTGTTTATTTATTTATTTACTATATTTGTATACTGTCCTTCTCAGCCTTCAGGCGATTTGTTGGCCAAATGATATTCCAAGAGGGATGGAACTGTGACATCACTGTATATAAGAAGAAAATGTCTGGCCGTATAATTACTTTGTCATGATAGAACACAATGGAAAACTAGTTTGTCATTTCCACCAATTCACTTGCTCTCTTCGTAGAGTGAATAAAAGATTAACAGCACTAGCCAAATGTTCAAATGCTTTACCTGTCAACTGTGAGAGGACCAAGGTGAGATAGAGGATGCCACTGGAGGGTAAAGATGTACCAGGCCCTTAAGGAAGTTCTTGATTGCAGAATGTATGTGAAATGCAGTTGAGACAGAAGGTGGTGGTTGGTAAGCCATTGTGACAGCCAAGTAAACTTAAAAAACAAAACAAAACAATTCTGGACTATGTCTGCCTGTTACAAAGTAGAGAATAGTCCTCCAAATACTCCTGGAGTCTATACTCCCCCAAACCCCAAGCCATCACTGTGGTTGGGGACACTTTGGACTACTGCTATTTTATAGCACCTTTTCTACTGCATTTGGAGAAAGGCCCCTTTCCCTTTTTGTTTATATACCTTTTGTAAATACACTTCTGTAGTTAGCAACCACTGACTATGTTTGATGTTGGGTGGAAAGGTGTTCCAGACCTAGTGTGCGACACTATATACCTATGTTTAAGAGCTTTCCTAGGGAGCTAAACTTGTATGTAAAGAATGTGGGTCTGCTGGGAAATGCCCCTAGGGCAGAGCTGGCTAGCAGGGGGCTAAAGTGACCACTGGGAAGGGGAACTGATTACTTCAATTTCTATCATTTTTCCTCCCCCCCCCCCAACCTCTTATGCCTCTGGAGTACGGATGTGCATCTCTAGTGGAAATTAGAAAAAGAAACCAACCACAGAGTGGTTTGAGGTCAGGATCCATGTTTAATGTAATCACCTTCCTGGCCTCAAAAAAGTCCCATACCTATCGATCCAATCACCCTTACAGCAGAACCGGTTCCAAGCTCCATTCATATGTTAGTGTAGATGTGCCCTCAGCAGTGGGAAGAAGAAAGAAGGAGTATCATGGCTTAGAGTTGTGAATACAATTTTTACACAGTGGCAGCTGTCATGCATTGACCTCAACATTTTTAGAACTGGCTAACAATATCACTTTCCCCCTTTCACCTGCTGTTTCCCTTGATTTCCTGGAGGGGATGTTTAGGCTTTGAATTAAGGGCAGAGGGCAAGCATGTCTCTTCAGTTTAGCTATTAATTAGAACTAGAATTGCTTGCATTTCCAGATGCAAAAGGGTTTTGAGTCCTTGTTGACCAGTGCACAGCTAAAACTGTTACAACATTGAAAGCAAGGTATTTCTGAGCCTCAGCTGGGCTTCTAAGAAGAGGACACTTGTGCCATTCTAAAACTTTATTTTAAAAAGAGGATACTTGTGATCAGCAGTGGCATGTCAACACTTCCCTCAATTCAGGGTGCGTGCGTAGACACATCCGTTTCACATCCTATAGTGAGAATGTTTTGCAAACATAGCAAACCACAACAACAAGATACTCCAGGCTAGTAAAGGGATTTGTAGAACAATGCATTCTTGCTCAACGGGAGAGGAACAAAATATTCCATTCGGTGGAGGGGGATTTCTCATGCTGAGGAGAAGTGGATAATGTAGGTTTGTTGCATCACGCGACAAAAGAACAAAGTAATCTTCCTGTAATTTCTTGTGCCTCTTTTCTGGACTGTGCACACAGGGTTGCTGGAATGTTACGCAATATCATTTCTTTTGGACAAGAGGATTTCATAAACGAATGATGGCTTTTTAATGTTTTATTCACAAATATTCAAGCAGAGATTTGAATATGTGAGCAGGGCGATCTAAGTCACATACCCATCTCCATGCCAAGATGTCCTCTTCAGGTTCATAGCACCATTCCCTAGATCAGTTTAATCTTATCCACTTGTGTCCCCCAAACATTTACTGATAACAAATCAAAATTTGCAAGGTGTGCTGGTGAAGGGGCAGCAATGTAGGGGCACGGGCTCATCAGCACTCCAAATGCACAAGCTTAGGAGTCCCCTCAAAGGCCCAAGTAGCAGTGCAAGGAGGAGGCCATAAGTTGGTTTCTTACTACAAAGGCCTTTATTGCAGGTCTAGCAATAATGACAAACATGCATATGGAGATGCAATCAAAGGTTTTGTCACACCCCCAAATAATCTGTTGTGCAGTGTTGAAAGTGGACCCAACAGAGATACTTCAGCTGTATTTTGTGCAAAGGAATATCAACCTGTTTAGCAAGCTGTCACACCCAAGAGGCTTTAAAGGTCTTTAGCATTAATGTGTCCCAACTTTCTATCAGGTTGAGGGATGCTAGATTGCCTTCCTGTTTGAGCAAAGTACCCCATAGATTCAATGTCCATGCTATTGCTTTCAAGAAACAATAACAATTTATTAATTGGTCTTGGGCTTATCTCCACCCAGGCACTATCTTGATTCCCCCACAACAAAGTCCAGACTTAAAATTTGAAGGTAACTGGTTCCTTCCAATTGCCTGGGTTCAAATGACAAGAAAGGAGATTCCACCTGAACATTAGGAAGAACTTCCTGACCATGAGAGCTGTTCAACAGTGGAGCTCTCTGCCTGGGAGTGTGGTGGAAGCTTCCTCCTTGGAGACTTTTAAGCAGGTTGGATGGCCCTCTGTCAGGGGTGCTTTGATTGTGCTTTTCCTGCATGGCAAGGGTTAGACTGGATGCCCATGTGGTCTCTTCCAACTATGAGTCTGCACAACCATGAAAGATACAGGAGCTCTCCACAGTTTTTACTTTTCCAACTCAATTATTCTATGATTCTATAATCTCTATGTTGCTGTTGCTATTGCCACCTGTAGCCAGGCACAGAGCTCTGTGCAAACTCATGGCCATTGTGGGAATATCGTCAGACATCAGATTGGGGAGTTTGCACAACCAGCATGATGCTTCTTTCTTCTTTCTAGACATTGGCCCACAGTCCATGCCCACAGGCTAACCAATGGAAAAAGAGTGAGTGGAAACAAAGGGTTAGGAGAACTCAAGGAATTGTCCTGTTTTGCCCCAAGAATAGCCTTAACACTAAATTTAAAGGAACTCAAAAAGCTTTTACTTCATCAAAGTTTAAAGTAGCAAAATAAAATACAAAAGGCAAGTACACAAAACAAGGTAAAAGTCTCTTGGCTAAACAAAGTAAAGTCTTTGGTAGTTTCTTCTCAAGGCAAAACACTTACAAAGACAAGGCTTCTTGCTGGAACAGATACAGGAACAAAGACTAGGTAATTGGATCAGTTGCTGCCAGCAACAACTGTTTCCCCTGCTCCTGATTTATAGTTCTCAACCCATAGCATACGTGTTTCTAGGGAATGGTGTGATCGCTGTAAATTTTTGCAGCAATCCTGGCCAATCTATGTTTTGCTTGTTGCTCTTGAAAAGTAGGAACAGCCAGTGTGCTTCCCTCTTCTTTTTCTTCGTCCTGAGCAGGCCTGACCATCTGCCCAGAGTCCCCAGCCCCTTCCTCTTCAGCATTCTCCTCTTCCAACTCCTCCTCAGAAGAGGAAGACGCAACAGGAATCATTCACCAGTGATGAAAGATCCCTTCCATGTCTGCTCCTTCTTTGGTCATCTGGTGGAATGGCTGTTTGTGGGGACAACTGAAGTAAGAGTCCACATCAAGACAGGTTGACATATATTAAGGTAGATGCAGCTATGCAAACAGAAGTACATTTGCATGCACACTGTAGTGCTCTGCTACTCAGTACCTATATGCAACTTTCGACGTGAATGAAGATATGGATGCCCCTCCAGAGTTCATAGCATATGGAAAAAGAGTTCAGTTTCAGCAGTTTCTTAGCTGAGAAATAATTTCCCATTCATTTGGGAAATCCTTATTCATTCTCTTCGCAAATCCAGCGGCTTGACACAGAACAAGACTGGGAACTAAATCCTTTAAATCCAACCAAGGCACAGTCAGAATTTTCCATATGAAATATTTTAAATCTGGGAAAGAAAAAGAAGCAAACATTCGAAGAATGAAGATTTCTGCATCCAACCTAACATATATAAATAATAAATATGCTCTGTATTTACTGCAAATATAATAAATGGGAAACTGTACAGGGAGGAGAACTCATGTTTCCATGGACAATGTTTATGAGGCTGGAGCAAATATTTATATAAAAACACGACATTTGATCAAATTGCAAATTTGGCTTTTAAGATACAGGTCAGAATTTGTAGTTTGGTCAGAGGCACTGTTGGAGCACTCTGTCTGAGAATCCAAAATGCCCCTTCTGAAACCGCAAATCCAGAATTTGATAGGGTGTTTGTAGTTAAAGTGAAATTCTAGTTTGATACTTTTGTATTATGAAGTGCCCACAGGAGAAATCCTTCTTTCTCCTCCTGCTATAGGTCCTAAGTAGGAGTCCTGCCTTGTAGCTGTCACGATTCTTTGGGTAGAATTGATACACGACCTCACAACCTCTGAGGATGCTTGCCATAGATGCAGGTGAAATGTCAGGAGAGAATGCCTCTAGAAAATGACCATATAGCCCAAAAAAACCTACAACAACCCAGTGATTCCAGCCATGAAAGCCTTCGACAATACAGAATTAATACAGTTTGACACCACTTGAACTGCCATGGCTCAATGCTACGGAAGCAAGTTTGCTGAGGTATCAGTACTCTCTGGGAAAGGAGGCTAAAGACCTTGTAAAACTACAACTCCCCTGATTCCAAAGCATTGAGTTATGGTAGTTAATGTGGTGTAAATCTCCATTAATTCTACAATGTAAATGCATCCCTAATTTTGGTGCTCATTAACATGCTATGAACAGGAGTTAACAGGATGTGTGTACATTAGGCATGCGCGTGGATCTGATTTAGCCATTTTCCTTTGGTTAATTCGGCTTCTTCAGCTGGGTTGGGTGGCCATAATGGCAAGGGCCCAGCCATTACGGATTCCCATCCATAACAGGACCACATGGCAGCCGATTACGGCTCCTCATTCCCTATTTGGCATCACAGTTGCACCCTGGCTTCAATGTATTTTTCGGTTTGGATTCTGGCTTGGCCTCTCTCTTGAATCTTTTTGATTTTCCTTCTTTTTAAAATTCTTTTTATTTAGTGGGACTGACTGAGAGTTGGGAACTACCAGTCAGTCCTCTCCTTCAGAAAATACTTCTAAAAGATAATTATTAATAATAGTAATCCCAGCAAACAAAAAGAAAAGCCTCATTCTCAGAAAACGACTACCATTACCTCTCCTCTAGAGTAGAAAGTGGAAACAGTTTTAAGGAATCATTAAGCCCACAGAAAGGCATGAGGGGGGAAAAGGCACCACTCCAGGCAGGGCAAAGAGTGGGCTTTTTAAGGAAGCCCAGGGAGATAGCTCCAGGTGGATTACTCTTTCTTCCCTAGGATGTGGGAAGCCCCCTTAAAATGCCTTGGAAAGCTGTGTGCAGGGAGAGAGCATGCATGCCTGTAGCATCTGTCTACTCTAGAGTAGAAAGAAATGGCTTTAATGAAGCATTAAACCTGGTCTCCTCTACACATAGAGGGGAAAAGATTGCAGGAGAATGGTATGATATTTTTAATCCAGGTCTTAATGAAGGATATAAGGACAAACAATGCCTAAAATGATGGGGAGCCTGGGAAGCCCCCCTCAATGGGCTGGATAGGGTGCTTCCTTAGCCCTGTTGCTGAAACCCAGGCTCCCTTGAAAGGAAAAAAAAAGGAAAGGGTGCCAGGAAGGGTGCTTCCTTAACCCTGGCTATTCTGATGTGCCTTTCCTGAATAGGATAACCTCCAGCACTACGTCCCAGAAGCACTTTATTAGAGCTTAAGACTCTCTGCACATCGCACTTGCCCAAAATCCCAACATATCACCTCTTACACCCAGCACTTTTTAACTTGTACCCTTCGTTGGCCCGGCCCTGGTTTTATTGCGTAATAGTGTAATGTTTTGTTTTTGTTATTGCTTATATTTTTAATTTGCTTGCATTGTATTGTTATTGTTTGTTGTTGTTGTTTGAGGCCTTGGCCTTTGTAAGCTGCATCGAGTCCTTCGGGAGATGCTAGCGGGGTACAAATAAAGTTTAATAATAATAATAATAATAATAATAATAATAACCCCGTTGCTAAAACCCAAGCTCCCTTGAAGGGAAGAAAGGAAAGGGTCCCAGGAACATAAAAGGGAGCCTTGTACGTTCCCATTGACACCAATGGGCCGAATCTAGCTGTATTTTTTGGGTGAGGACAAAAAAAGGCTTTCTGATTACCCACCCATTTTTGGGAGGCACGTGAAAACAGATATATACCAGAATCCGGCCAGCAGAAATGGAACAAGGTTCAGCCGAAATGCACACAAGCCTAGTGTATATGTATGTGGTTCCTTCCAAAGACCCCCAATAAAGGTCCTGTTTGGCAGCGAAGATTATTATTTCCATTCCCATTAAAATGAACTCCAAATATCCTATTAACACCCACCCACTCTTGCCAGGACTCTATTTTGTGCACCACAACAAATTTGTTTTGGGTACAAATCTGGCTGCTCCAAAAATGTGAAGTTTCCTCATGCCACACAGTCCTAATCTTTACTGGTGCCCATATAAAGCTTGTCAGTGTCACCTACTGCAAACCTATAGTAACCAAGTCTGATGGATAGAGCCTTGTGCCCCAACTTCATAATGATGAATAAACATACATGTTAGGGTCAAACTTTGTATTGTCCATCCATGTCCACTGTCCTTTGTGAGTCAGACCAAAGAAGTAGTGCGCATTTTGTGTTTTGTTCTGCAGGAACATCTGGGGAAGATGCATAGGTATTAGTCATGAAAAACACTATGAAATCTGAACACTTTGTTGTGGTCATGAAGTGCAAAGGCAGAGAGACCTTAATTCAAGCAACTTTTGGGAAAGGGAAAAAGACGTCTCCTATAAATGCTTTTTGTACCTGCGCTTCTTTTGCATCTTTGCAGGCATTTGCCTGCACTTGCTAAGTTAAAAGTACATTTTGAGGACTGCAAAACCTTATTATTTTAGCATTGCTAGTTTCTAAAATTGAAGGCAACCACGAGAAAATGCAAGGTGGTGGGGGGCGGGGGTGGTGGGAATCTGTAAAAATTCTAAAATTCAGTTCTTTCATTTCAGAAGACTCGATCACACAGCAAAGTGTTTTGGGATCCAAATATAGCCAACCACTTTTTTTATTCTTACCCGTTCTGCATTGTTGTTGATTATTGCAAGATGAGAATTTGATTGTGCACAGTCCTGTTTGCTTTCATCCCATGTCTTTTCTACAGCAGAAAAATAGTAGCACTTGCCATCAAAAGGTACCCATCTTATAGAGCAGTCTGTGGAAGATGGGAGAAACTGGAGGCAATCAAAATTAGTACACAGCAAGGAACCTAGATGTCCATGCCCAGTTTTTTTTGTTGCAAACTTACCTTTCTCTGGTTTTGAGGTGGTGTTGGAGGTGTTGGAGGCTTTGTGAAAAATCTGTGAAACTGTAGAGAACATTTTCTTAATACAAAGATAATACTCCAGAAGATACGAGCAGAATTCAAAATGATCTTAACAGATTAGAGGGATGATTGGCCAAAACTAACAAAATGAATTTCAACAGGGCGAATGCAAGATACTCCACATAGGCAGAAAAAAATGAAATGCAAAAATACAGAATGGGGGATAACATTTTAAAAAATAACATTTTTTAAAAAAATTCAGAGGTCAACCTCCAGCTACTTTCACAATTCTTTTGTGTGTGTGGATTTGTGTCTGTATTTTTGGCTGTCTGTACGACCACCCAGGGAATGTTTGTGTGTGTGTGTTTGTGGGCAGGAGGGATCTCCTGCAATCCATTGAAGTTGTCCACTTCTGGTTTGTATTTTAAGAAAATGATATTAATAATGCCCTGGCATAGGAAATAAATACAGGAATCAACTAACAACTTTTGAGAGTCAGATGGTTCCTCTTCCCTACGTAATCATAATCAGAAGGTTATTGCCACCCAACAAACCACATCGCAAGACACCACTGGATTGCCTCATCTCTATGCGTGCTTATTTTTAAAATAAAGATTACTGAAAATGTCCGTCCTTTTAGGAAGGAAGACATCTTAGTCATAGTGTTTTGAGTAATTTGGGATGAAATGACTTCCATATTTCCCCACCCCCCTTGAAAACCCCTGGCACCATTGCTTTCAGTCATGTCTGCCATCTATGCTGCTCTCCGTTTGTAAAATGAGGACACGATCCTCTGCAGAGAAGCAAAGGAAGTGCAAACAAAGAACATGTTATAGCTTTCCTTTCTTCTTTTCATTTAGACACAGACACCAACTAAATACATTATTTACTCCTCCCACTCCTACTCTCTCAAAAAGTGTTGAATGGAGGAAAACAATCAATCCTGAATTAACTTTTGCCATTGTTCAAACAGTTTAGGTATATTTTCAAAACATGTTTGAATAGAAACACTGTCCTGAATCCCATCGAGCTGTTATAAATTCCTAACCCACAGTTAAGAACCTGTAATTGCTACATATTAATGATCCCTTTGTAGTCCCAAATATAGGACCATGGAAGTCCCCAAGCCCCACTTGACAGACAGCCATTTTTGTTGACTGGAGAAGTGGCTGACATTCACACTCTGTGAACTCTACAAGGGAACTCCAATGTGAGTGGGATTTGTGATAGGTCCCCATTTTCTGTTGGAAAGAGCAACCTTCTCAAGCCTCCACTACTTGTTTGTTATGTGTATAATTGCTTACTGTATTGTATTTGTGTATATTGGTTTGCAATTTTATCTTAACTCTTTGCAGTGGGAGGGGCTGCAAACCATGTGATCAGAACTGGGATTATTCAGGACTCAGACTCCATTTTAGAAACGCTTTTGCCTCAGACTTCAATAGGAACTGATTTTCTTTATACTTCAATGTAGGAGAAGTTCAGTTTAGACTCTATTTGTACACAGAGACTCTATTAGACTCTCAAAATAGAGAGATGCTTTAGATTATGTACTGTGTGTGTGTATATACACACACACAGAGAGAAACTACTTCAACTCCTATTTGTAACTGGATCGATAATTAAAGTACCTGTATGCTGAATACATGAAGTTTGTGAGTAAACAAACTATGTTGCTTTTAAAGAAGTCTGCTTTTTTGTCTCTAGAGCGCATGATTTAAAGGCAAATATATTTTGAGGTAGAGCCGATGTTTTTTGGGCAACTAAAAGGAACACTTCTGAAATTCTGCTGTATATGTGTGTATGTGTGTGTGTGTGTGTATGAATGCTAGTGAATGCCGTTTTCACAAAATGTTATGGCTTTTAATAGGTCATGCTTTTACCAAGAGGTTATGGCATCACTTTCAAAAGGTTGTGACTTCTAACAAGGCCATACCTTTCAAATATCGTAAAATCTCCAAAAAGGTTATTGGAGATTTCCATTTTACAAAATTTTCTGCTTGTCATACCAGAGATTGCTCAAGTATGGTGAGTGGGAACAATCATTTGCTTTTTTATTATGTGGGCAACAGATCCCGGTCAATCCCAGTGTCTGCTTACCAATATGTGGGGTTGGATCTGGAATCTGGAAAGAATCCACAATGTAGCACTGAAGTTTTGATACTATATCGCACATAGATTATTATAACTCTAACACATGAACGGATCATTCAGAATTAATGAAGGATTTACGTATTTCAATATTTAATGTCAGTTATTCTAAAATACTACATTCATACTCGTTCCTGCGAATCATAACTAAGATTAAATTCCCAATTTGGCTTAGAAACATCCATAGAAAAGTGGACCTATTTAAACATAAAGCCAGTAGCTTTCTCTTTTAAAAAATCGCAGTTTTCCAAGAACAAGGCAAAGAGTAGTTGAAATTAATCAGAAAATGTATGGTGAGAGGGGCTGAGGTTCTTTTCCTATACTGCCATCTTGGTTAGATTTTCTCCCAACCTGTTCCTATTTTTTTTTAAAGGCAGATATCTGTTGGGACTGCTTTGATTGTGTTTCTGCATGGCAGGGAGTTGGACTAGATGGCCCTTATTGTTTCTTCTAATTTCATGATTCCATGATTCTATATCGGTTTGTGGCCTCGGAAAACAAATTCAGTATTGGAAACTAGAGATGAACTGTTCTGCAGTGCAGACCTATGCATACTATTTAGTAATAGTTCTGACCGCTTTCATGGTGATTCATTCTCTGTTGGAGTTTCCAGGTCTCAGGGCCTGGCCATGAGTCTCCAGGTTTTGCAAGTCATCTTCAGGCAGGAAATGAGTGCACATATTCTCCAGATTGTGTGAGTTTAGCTCCAGACACGAAGAGAGGGCTAATTTCCAGATCAGGTAGTAGAGCATCCGTTCGCAATGCTTTATTGATCTGCCACTTTAATTGATCAGACTAAATATTACTACTTCTGTAATGATAAAAAGTTAAATGAAGTCTTTCAATCTGCACTCAGCACAAAAGCTGTCATGAATGAAATTTAGAAACTGAGTTATTTAGCTACTGTTTTTAAAATCAGAAAACCGTATTGAAAATTTTTCAGATTCATTCTGATACTCACAATAGAAAAGGAACAAAGATGTGCCTATTATCTTAATAAACACAATTGTCATAAGATGGCTCACAAGTTTCCAATTCATATTCTGGTTTTAGGCAGTACAGTCTTCTGAATATCTGAAATCTGATTAATTCTACTTCCAGGTTGGATCTGTAAGATAAATATTAGCACAGATTGTTACTGGTAATGCAGTCTGTGGGCTATATAGATTTCTTTTAATAAACACCTGCTAGAGAAATACACTATTCAGTACAATGTGACCTGCCCTCTTCACCCCGAAGGGGACTCAGAGTGGCTTTACAAAAGGCAACAATTTGATGCCACACAGATACATATCAATAAAATAAAATACATTGAACTCAGCAGTTAAAAACATAAAACATTAAAACTTCATTAAAATCAAGCAATTCATATAATTATCCAGGGCTGTTCCATTCATCATTGTATTAGTTTCATAGTCACTTACTCCACTGCTTAAGTTACTGGCCAAAAGCTTGGTCCCACAATCACATTTTTAGTTTTTTTTTCTTGAAGATCAGGAGGGAGGAGGGCTGATCTAATTTTGCTGAGGAGGGAGTACCATAGACGAGGGGCCACCACTGAGAAGGCCCTGTCTTTCATCCCCTCCAGCCGCACTTGCAAAGGAGGTGGGACTGAGAGCAGGGCCTCCCACGACTATCTTAATCTCTGAAGTGGATCCTAAAGGGAGGTACGTTCCAACAGGTAAGCTGGGCTGAAACCGTTTAGGGCTTTAGAAGCCAAAGCCAGCACTTTGAATTGGGCTCAATAACAGACTGGCAGCCAGTGGAGCTGACTTAACAGGGCGTTGTATGCTCCCTATATGCCACTCCAGTGAACAATCTGGCTGCCACCTGTTGGTACTATATGCCTCCAAATTTTTTATACAGATTTAACAATAATAAGGTTCCCAAGGGTGATAAAAGTATCTCTTTACAAACTTACATGTTCATAATTCTATATTAATTTTTTTTAAAAAAATAAATACCAACAAATGTGGGGCAGAGACCACAAACTTAATAAATAAAATATCAAACATATGGGGATTAATGGATTAAAAATGGAGTTAAGATTATTTTTGCAAGAGGGAGAGAATAAGGGTTGGAATTCTGTACTCAGCTCCTCAGAAATAAATATCTTTCAGTTCAGAAAGCAAAGAAACTCAGAAGAAAATCCTCCTTCTACTCAACCAGCCAAATTTCAGCCAGTGTTTCTATTCAATCAAGTTTTTGAAAATATTCTCAACATGAAAGAATCTGTGGCTTACTGACACCAAGAGACAGAGACAGTCATATTCTAACAGCTCAAATCCCGCTGACTGGGTGGATTAATCTGTCAAGTTTTTCCTCTCTCTTACAATTTGAACTTTTAAAAATTCTCTCTTTTGTTTTGATGCAACAATTTGTGTATGTGCATGCATACATTCTTATTTTTTAAAAAACAAACCAAACAAAATTCTTCCTGGTTACTATTGTGAACAACCCGTGCTGCCTTATCACACTAGAGAAAAAATCCACTTAAAATCCGGTTTCTCCCTCCTGCAGAATTCTGGAGTTTGTAGTTTAGTGAGGCTGTTAAAGGCTCCTCCCTAAACTACAAACCTCAGAATTCTACAGGAGGCAGGAACCAGATTTTAAGTGGATTTATTCTCTAGTGTGATGAATTGGATTAAGTTTAGGCAAGATATTCAAAGGTCCCTAAGAAATCTTTGGGACTTAATCATAAGTAACATGTACTACATGGAACCTTGAGTGTAAACACAGAGACAAAATTGCTTTACCTGAGTGAAGATATGATTTTGTTTTTCACTTATTGCTTCGTTATTCTTGAGAATCCGGCTACAATAAATGGTTTTGTTATGGTATTTCTCTCTTCTTGGTTTTCATTGAAATGTTACCTTCTTGCTTTCTTCTTGTGCAGAATTATCCACATCTTCCAGAAATGCTTTTGACTCTGCAGTAAACTTGCTGTGACCACTCCTCCTTCAAAATACTTATTCCAAAGTTCCCGACGCTCTCTTGATGCTTGCCTCTCCAAACTTCTCCTTTTTTACTAGCCAGTTTCCAGTTTATGTAATGCCTTACACTTCACAAGCATAGAAATGTTTTTTTTCTTTTAAAGATGTACAACTAACAATACTGAGTATCATATTGTGATGGCTGCCAATACTTACTATTTAGCCGAGTTTTGAGATGTCAGAGTTCACATATAAGAGCAGGTACAAGATTTTAAACATTAAAGACTTCAGTGTACAAACCTACTATTTCGCTGCAATCACTTTTTCTTTCGTGTCAGGAACGACTTGAAAAACTGCAAGTTGCTTCTGGTATGAGAGAATTGGCCGTCTGCAAGGTTGTTGCCCAGGGGACACCAGGATGTTTTGATGTGGGAGGCTTCTCTCATGTACCTGTGTGGGGAGCTGGAGTTGACAGAAGGAGCTCATCCGCGCTCTCCCCAGATTCGAACCTGCGACATGTCAGTCTTCAGTCCTGCTGGCACAAGGGTTTAACCCACTGTGCCACCGGGGGCTCCTGCAATCACTGATAGGGGACTCCTACTGGGAAGGCCACCTTGGATACAACACCTCACTTCATTCACACAATTACACTGATTCAGCAGTTTGCAGTTTCACTACCTCCTAAAGTTAAGTGCATACAAACAAAAAGTGAGGTGGTTCTGAATATTTCAGCTTTATAAATGTATTTTAAGGAACTTAAGAGCCTCTAAGGTTGGCATCAAGGAATATTTTAGAGTTTACATGAACTGACAGATAGTCCTCAAGTTAAGAACAAGATGGGTTCTGTAAGTTTTTTCTTAAGTTGAATTTGTATTTAAGTTGGAACAGGTAATTCCAGCCACACACACACACACACACACACACACACACACATATATGTGTGTGTGTGTGTGTATGTGTGTCTGCGTGCGTGTGTTTTGGATAGCATAGGGAAGTATTAACACCTCTGTGGTGTTTGTTTTGCTTCTCTGTGCCCCTGTTCACTTTCTATCCCTGTGAGAATTGGATTTTGAAAAATTTGGCTTGTCATGGAAACACAGTTTGGTGAGAAAGTTTTTCCCCACGATAACTCTTTCAGGAGTGAATTTCCCATCTGAGGGATAGATTTCTCTCACTTCCTATTGTTTCACCACCTTTTGTAACCATTAGTCACTTGTAAGTTGGGTGTTTGTAACTGGGCAGAATTGTGACGCCCAGTGATAAAATTATGACTGGCATGTGGTCATCCAACTTTAGGTTTTCCACTACAGTGCCATTCTGAGCCAGTTCACGTTCTTTTGGATTTGGATCAGTGGCAAGTTTGCCCATACTACAAACAGCCTCATCACAAAGGTCAGATGAAGTGCCCCACATTGCCTAGCATCGTGGTAAAAGGAGGGGCAGCAGGGTGAATCTGTTGGCCCCCATGCAGCTCTCTTTCAGTGACGCTTTCCCCATCACACTGGGGAAGCATAGCCCTCCTGGAGAGGACCCATGCTGGAGCTATTGGAGCCAGCAGAACATGGGAAGCCTTTTGTGTTGTGGGGGAAGCCTCTGGTAATGCTTTTACCCTGGTTGGGGTTGGGGCCACTGCTGGAAGTCACGCAACTTTGTGTGATAGCTGATGTGGGGCTCCGTCCAGAAGCCAGGATGAAAGTGTCCTAGGATGCTAAATTCCCTCCATCTGATGTTGTCCTATCTGAGAAAGACCATCTCTTTATCCACTCTCATGTAGTGTGCCACTGTGTATAGCCAATGTCAGGCATGTAGCCGTGGGGGGGGGGGGGGGGGCTTGAGGGGCTTCGTCCCCCCCTGAAATTCTCATGGTGGTTCGCGAAAAGGCCTTACTGGTGCATTATTTAAACTGTTATGTTTATTCATATCATGATCTGATCACCATACTCAATATATCCCATATGCATGGGGGTATTGGGGTAAAGATACAAAAGGTTTGCTAGGGTAGACCCTCTTTCACTCAGACTCAGCCCCCCCCCCGAAACAAACTCAGCCCCCCCCCCCCGAATCGAAATCCTGGCTATGGGCCTGGCCAGTGCAATAATTTACTTCCAAATTTCATTCATTTCCAAAGGCTTATTTTACAGCTAATATGGATCACCAAGTTCTTCTTGAAATCAGTAGGACAAGCTGATTTTGATTAGAGTCCTGTGCAGATATTTGAAGAGCCTATGGACTTATGATATCCAAGGCTTATGATATCTGCAATAGTGAAGAACATCTGTATAGGGGTCAATGTGATTAATCTTCCATGAATTTTGGCATAGATAGTGGTTCTCAACCTGTGGGTCCCCAGGTGTTTTGGCCTACAACTCTACAACTCCCTGCCAGTTTTTCAGCTGTTAGGATTTCTGGGAATTGAAGGCCGAAACATCTGGTGACCCATAGGTTGAGAACCACCGGGTCTGTGGTGCAGCTGGCTGGGAGTCAGCTGCATTAAGATCACTACTGACCGAAAGGTCATGAGTTCAAAGCCAGCCCGGGTCGGCGTGAGTGTCCAACCAATTTGTGTAGCTTGCTGTCGACCTTTGAAGTCCAAAAGACAGTTGCATCTGTCAAGTAGGAAATTTAGGTACCGCTTATGTGGGGAGGCAAATTTAACTAATCTACGAGGCCATAAAATCTCCAGCAAGCATGCAAAGAATAAGGAAGTACTTCATCAGTGTCACTAATGGTCAGTGAAGGGACAGCTCCCCTGGTGGCCAAAATACCTTTAAGAAAAGTTGGAATGTTAAATAGCCTCTGTGTCTGTCTATATATGTTGTGTGTCTATGGCATTGAATGTTTGCCATGTATATGTACATTGTAATCCGTCCTGAGTCCCCTGCAGGGTGAGAAGGGCAGAATATAAATACTGCAAATAAATAAATAGATAGATAGATAGATAGAATGCAAAACATTTATCTATTCTAGAGCCAGCCACACTTTTAGGACTCAGAGGTTATTCGTTATAGGTTGGTTACTGTTTCGTTCCTTAATGGGATGTGGCTGCCAAGCATGATTGTTGTCCCATCTGTCCCTCTATGAACATCTGAAGTTGAGATTTAACTAGTGGTTGTTTAATTATTCCCATAATATCTGGTTCCAAATAAACAAGTTGAGGACTGTAGGTAGTGATATAGAAATATGTTTTACACTTAAGGATGTGTTTCTGGTCTCTCTGCATGCAGTGTGTGTGCAACTGGAAACTGCCATTAATAAAAGCTACCAATCCTATCACATAAAATGGTGTATAATCTACTGTGGATCTCCAACTTCCTAGACAAGTGAAAAAAATAAGTAAGGTGGGGGTATTGGTGTGCCAGCTGATGAATCTCGGAGTGTCTCGCTCACTTGTACTCAGCCAAGCTCCTAACAGATGTTAGTATGTGCAAGAGGAAGAAGGGAAAATACTGATGATCAGGCTATTGAAAGGGCTATCGAAAGGGAAGATGGGTAAGCACAGACATCTTTAAAATGCTTTCCCAACTTGGCATCCTCTGGGTCAGGGGTCCCCCAAACTAAGGCCGGGTGCAAGCCTCCAAGGTCATTTACCCAGACATTGCCCTAAAATTTAGATTTGGGTTGCCCTGAGTCTGAAATGACTTGAAGGCACACAACAGCAATCCTAATTAACTTGACTATCTCACAAATCAAGGAGCCCCCGGTGGCACAATGGGTTAAACCCTTGTGCTGGCAGGACTGAAGACTGACAGGTCACAGGTTCGAATCCAGGGAGAGAATGGATGAGCTCCTTCTGTCAGCTCCAGCTCCCCATGCGGGGACATGAGAGAAACCTCCCCCAAGGATGGCAAAGCATCAAAACATCTGGGCATCTCCTGGGCAACGTCTCTCACACCAGAAGCGACTTGCAGTTTCTCAAGTTGCTTCTGACATGGTAAAATAAATAAATAAATAAATTTCACCATTGAAATACTGGTAAGTTTATGTTGGTTAAAATTGTTCTTTGTTTTGAATATTGTATTATTATTTCATGATTTTTTTTGCACTGTAAACCAGATATGTGCAGTGTCCATAGGAATTTGTTCATCCCCCCCCCCCCCAACACTCTGAGGAACTGTGAAAACATGGTTATGGGACCAGGCCTTTGGGTAGCTGACAGATAATTGACAATGGTAATGATGATAATGTTATGGAAAATGGACTATGGACAGGCTTCCGATTGTGTTGTGCTCGCTGAATTTGTTTCTACATAAGGCTAGACAGCCAGTATTATTGCACTTTTCATTAATGTACTTTTAATTTTAAAACTAATTTTAAAATCAATTTACTGTGTTCTTATATGTAATTACTGTATGTATTATTTATATGTAATGGTGTCGAATTGCGCCGGATGTAAGCCGCCCTGAGTCCCTCCCCGGGTTTGAGAAGGGCAGGGTACAAATGTTTGAAATAAATTAAATAAATAAATAAACAGGCCCTCAGCTAAAAATGTGTGAGGACCCTTGCTTTGGATGAATACACTCCTGTCATCCCCAGCAAGAATGGCCAATGGTTATGATGATGAGAGTAATTGTCTGCTCTATATCATGAGGGTTTCAGATTGAATGTAGCTATTCTGTGTTTGAACAAGTTATAGATAAAGCTATGAAGATCACAAGTGGATGTTTTACCATCCCAGGCCTCAATGCCAATGAACTCCCCTTTGAGGTCTCCTCCTCCAGCACGCCTTTCTGCAAAACAATTATATGAAACCTGGCTGAGCACAAGATAAGTGATCTAAAATTCTTTGGATAGTTGTATTAATCTCAAGTACCTCCTACTCCTTTGCTTGCTCAGTATTGATCTGTGAACTGGAGCTGCCACATCTGCTGAACATGCCTGCTGTTTCTCTCAGAACTACATTTAACAGCAGTAGAAGTTGTCTTTGGGAATTAGGATAATATAATTCTTGGACTATGTCTCTGGAGACGAAGGTTCAAATCCCCATGAAGCCCATTGTATATCCTTGGAGAAGTCACACTCTCTCAATTTCAGAGAAAGGCAAAGGCAAACTTCTTTTGAATAAAGATCACCCTGAGATAGGGCTGTCTTAGGGTTGCCATAGGTTAGGAATGACTTGAAGGTACACAACCACAATAGATGGTTTTTAAATGCAAAAGGATCTATCTGGACTTCCTTCCAAGAGATGGTTTGCTTGCTTCTGTTTTGTACTTCATTCATGCGCTTGGGAAAGTGTGATTTCAAATAAATTCGCACCCATCATACCACAGAGAAAATCAAATCACAAGAGCTTTAGCATGTTGATGATATTATGCAACTAAAACTTGATATATGATGCTCAGAGTCTACACTGAGGAAGTAATTAGCCATGTAAAACCCCAAGATAAGAAGAGCAGGGGAGGAAGCGGAAACATGCTCTTTGCCCCAAGAGCTTTGGCAGTCGTTGGTGGAGTTGGCTGGTACTCAGCTTGTCTTTTCAACCGAGATGGAGGGATGATTTTGGAAATATCCTTGCAGGGTGCTGATATAGTATCAGTAATCTCTCAAATGAAGCTTGTTTCATTTCTCACCAGCTCCTGGAAGAAGAGAAAATGAAGGGAATGAAAGATACACTTGTCTGCTCTCATTGCTTTAAGATACATTTCCTTTCTTCGCCATTGACAAGTGTGACTACCATCATCCAACCACATTTATTGGATTAGAGGTGCAGTATCTCTACAAAAGTGGAAAAACTGAGAGAATCTCAGAACTTAGGAATCTCTAGGTCCTCCAGCACAATTGGAGGTCAAATTTTGCTGGAAGTCAAATTTGGAATCATGTTGGAGGCTCTACAAAGCCCAGAGAAGTGTTCTCCACAGGTCAGCTTCTAGCAGGAGTTGACCATAGAGTTGCACTGCAGGACCTAGAGTTTCCTAAAGAGAACATCTTATCAAATCCATGAATAATCAAATCCACAAAAGTGAAATTCACAAATGTGGAGGGCCAACTGTATATGCTGTTTCTGATATAAAGATTTATTGCCTCCCTGGGGGGTCGGGGTCAGGACAAATGTTAAGATTCCAAGATTTCACTTGTGACTTAGAGAGCCTTCATTTCTGATTTTTCAGCTGAAGACATTGGTTATATGGTCTGCTTACATTGATTGTTTTAATCATAACAGTTTGTTCCGCCTCCTTGCATGCCTTCTCTGCCTGCTTGATAGTCTCATCGTCCCACTCCACCAAGGTAATGGCCATCATTCCTTCCGCTTCACTGCAGGGGAGACACCAAGGAAGAGATGGATGACCAAGGGCAAAAAGGCAGGACACAGTGGAGAGAATGAGGAGAGATGTCATGGTGGCCACAAATATCAAGGGAAGCCAGCGGTAGAAGATGACAAACAATCTTCAGTTGAAGACATTTGGGATGTTTTCCCACTAGCGTTATAGAATGGAGGCTTTCATCTGCCAATTGTCTGATCTATTCCTACAGAATTCTGGGAAATGTAGTTCAGGGAAGCCAAGGACCTCTCTAGCTGAGATTTCCAAAAGTCTACATTTCCCAGAATTCTGCAGGAGCAACTTGGATGTTTGGCAGACAATAGTCTTCATTCTATAACGCTGGTGAGAAAGTGTCCCTAGTCCTTCCCATGCCACCCCATACTTGCTCCCCCCCCCCTGCTATGTTGTTAGAGTACACTTCCCACCATCCTCTGCTAACATGGCAATTGCTAAGGTATGGTGTGGAGGATGCAAACCAGCAACATCTAGGGTTCCAAGTTCAGGAAAGGCTGTTGTAAAACATGGCAGAGACAATCCAAGTTCTCCATGCCCATTATTTACTTCAGAGAATGCCTATTCAGATCCCTTCTTTCCATAATGTTTAGACTGCCTTCATCCTCCACTCTGTTACCAACTACAGCAACCTTGGTTCCTCCTTTCCATCCTAGGCCGTTCAAGGACTTTGCTCTTCACCCTACCACAGAAGCACTCACTCAGAGGCCTCTTGCCCAAGTTCATTGGCAACATATTGAATGTCTGGGTATCCTAGGCAGCTGGAGATGTTGTTGCGAGGGTAGTAGAAAAGGAATATCAGGCACATTTCATTCAGGGTACTTGGTCCTCCCTGAGAGAAAGAGAGAAAAGAACTCAAAATTCAGCTAAGATGCAAGAAAGGAGAATGTTTTGCCCTTACCTATCTATTCTGTAATCACAAAAAATGGCAACTTATTAGGAAAACATATATTGAAAAAATGCTATATGCGAATGTTAGTTTGGGCTTACACCATAAAATCGAATTTCAGTTTTAACTTTTTGATGTCTTTCAAAGACAATTCTCATTGTCTGATCAAGAGTGCTGGGAATTCTGCATAGGGGATCCCAGCCCCTCCGTTCACAATTCTCATGTCTCCCTGAGAAGAGGAAATAAGCAGTGAATCAGTTTAGGATTGCAATTAGGTTTATAGGTTATGTATGTGCATGAATGAACTGCCTGTGAATATTCACAGATCTTAACCTCTCATTAATCTGGAGCACTTCTTTCAGTTTGATAAACTTAGTTGAAGATTGATAATTTCAGCTAAAACTATTTGTTTTTCATCTATCTTTCTAATCTAGGTTTGGATGGAAGAATGATTTGCCTTCCAATATAAAAAAACACACTTAATGCATTGTACTCAAATGGACATACTATTCCAAAATAGCTTCCTTCTGTAATCCTTGATCCTCAACCTGGCAGAAGAAAACAGGAAGGGTCAATGACATTGAGTGCAATCTACAAAGCTCTGGTAAAGGTAGACCATCCCAAAACAATCCTGTCTGGTTGGTGAGCAGGCTCAAAATCAGACCTTTCCAAGAAAAACCTGACTCTTCCTTGTTTAATCTCTTTATCAAGTTGGTGAATTCATGACTGGAGGATGGTAGGCTATCTGTGTAGCATATGACTGAAGAGAGGGAAAGAGGCTATCTTCTTGAATCCCAAGAGTATTCACATGTACTTTTTGGAGAGATGGGAAGATGACTTCTCTTCTCCTGCTGGCTGTGGAAGTGTAGACATACATGATCCAGATGTTCTCCTACTGTCCCACAAGAACAAATTAACTATGGGAGTATGCCCTAGGACTACTGGGATATAATTGTGTTGAGGTCTCAGTGTGCATATCTTCTTATCTTCCTACTCAATGAATGTCTGTGAGTGTATGTCACCAACAGGATTCTAGTCAGTGTCTCCTAATCATCTTTCTATTTGCCAGGTGAATAAATGGATACCCTATCCCTTTCTTTATATATGCTGTCTTACTTCTTTTCCCATGATCTCCCTCCAGCATAGGATACACCTTTCCATTGCCCAGTAATGTAAAATTTACTGATCTTGAAAATAATTATTCAGATGTTTGTATAGTGTTATAGGGAGACCAACTTCATTCCTGAAAGCTATTCACTCATCACATTTTCTTAGATGCTCAGATGGCTACCAGTCAAAGACTTACAAAGATGACATCAGTTCGATCAAGAGTCTGATATTGACATTCCACTAGGAACTCATCTCCCTGTAAAACAATGGCGTCCATAGATCAATAGTGGTGAACCTTTAAGAAACTGAGTCCCCAAACCACAATCCAAAATTAGCTGTAAGGTGAGCAGGCGAGTGGAGGGTGAGGTTGGGCAAGTGGGGGAGCAGGAAATGAACGACTTACAATCTAACTGGCTCAAATGGACACCTGTAAAAACATACCGGCTTGAAAATGACAGTCTCCTTCAGGTTTCTTGTCTCCTGGAGATTAAAATCATACTTGTTGTCTTCACAGAGTACTGTCACCTGCTCCCCATTCCTTGGCATGAAGACAGAGGAATTAGTAAGACAGGAACAACATGTGTACTACTGGGAGGAACTTAAAAGATGTGATCAATCAATATGTCATAGAACATTTCTGAGAGCCCAGAGATAAAATTACTATTGCAAACAATCCCCCCCCACCCCTCCCTCCCCCTACGGATTCAATTCTAGTTTGTCCATATGCTCAATGAACTGACTTTTGGAGCTGTTCCTGTAACAGTTCACCATTTGTTTTGCAATGTATATGGACAATAGGACACATATTTCTGTTGGAGTAAACCATTTTCTGCCTTTTTTTTTACAGCTTGTCTCTCTTAGTTCACTCAGCTTGTATGGAGTCACATCTAAAAATAAAAACTCATGCAAGTACCCCCTTTCTCTGCTTCCCCATTCAAACACATAGGTGGGAAATGCGGATTTCTTAAGCGCAAGGATGATCTTTATCACAACCAATTTTCTCTCATGTGACCCCTAGTACTGGAGGTGATACAAGCAACAGCAAAAGTTGTAATAGAAGTGGGAAAGAGAGATTTCATACTCTTCATGTTTTGCTTTTAAAACCACCCCCCCCCCTTTCTGAATGGCATTTTGTAATTGTCACATCTAGGTTGGGCACACATGTGAAATGATTTTTCTTACCGGTAGAGGACACCTCTCACTCCCTTTCCAGCAAGGTGGGTGTGCAGCAGGTAGCCAAATACATGCATATCAGGCACTGGAGCCCCATTCATCTACAGTCCAAAAGGGAGTAAAAAGACAAGTTTTGGGGGCACAGCACCTGCTTCATGTTTTCGAAGATCTGAGAACCAAAACCTTGGTTCAGACTCATATGATGTCACAGGGGTGTATGCTATTGTGACATTACAGAGGCACAATAGATTGGCAAGTAGGCTTGTGCATGGATTCAAATTGGTTGGTTCCCTTTGGCCAACCTGGCTTGTTGGGATGGCCATAACGGCAAGGGCTCAGCCACCATGTTTTTTTCAGCTGCAACAGAACAGTGGCTGTCGAAAACCAACTGCTTTCAATTACAAGTGGAGTGTGGCAGGGAGGCAGCCACTAGAAGGAAAAGTGTGAGGTAAAAAAAAAAAGACACCACTCCAGGGCTTTTTAAAGGAAGTCCAGGTTAAGATAGCTCCAGGCTGATCACTTTTCCTTCCCTGGGAATTGGGGAAGCCACCTTAAAATGCCTTGGAAAGCTGTGTGCTGGCAGAGAGAGAGCGCTATGCGCACCTGGAGTACCTGTGTCCTTTAGAGTAGATACAGCTTTAACTAAGTATTAAACTCCGTCGCCTCTACAGACAGAAGGGAAAGGATTGCAATAAGGTGGTATCTTAACTCTGATGCTTTTAATCCAGGTCTTAATGGAGGATATAAGGAGAAAAATGCCTAAAATGACAGGAAGGGGAACCTGGGTAATACACCCCATAATGGATCAGATAAAAACGAATTTTTGGCTTCCTGGATCAATAATGAATTTCTGTCCTCCCGAATTCAGGAGGCTCCCAAAAAAAAAAAAAAAACTGACCAAGACCCTCACTGAAATCTGAGACACTAAAATGGATTGTAGTTTACCCGAACTGCACAAGCTTATATGGCAAGTGGGCCAGAACTGTTCTAGGTCAATGGAAAGACATTTGGGAGCCTTCCAAATCCAAGGGGCCAGACTATGGATAAAATCAGGTGACATTGCAATTCAGAGCTAATGCATACACATGGTGACCCTTTCCTCAGTTCTTTTCCCCTGATCTTGGAGATTTGAGGCACCAATGTTGCACAAGCATAACACACACACAAACACCTTTCTAATAGTCCAAAAAATAGGCAAAACCTGGAAATGGTTAGCTATGGAGGAAAAGAATATTTATGTTTTTCCAGCTTAGATGAAAAAATATGGTTTGACATAATGCATCACAATGCATCATTAAAACAAATTATTCATACTTTGGAACCTTAGGATATATATTCATTTCTGCTAAAAATAATACTCTTGTGTAAGAAATAATGAATTTTGCACAATTGAATTGTTTATTTCTTTTGCTCAAGAAATACACAATTTCTTGAGCAAAATGCTGCAAACCAATATTTTTGCATACATTAATTTTTTCAAAAGGTCCTGAAGTGCATATAACCAGGAAAAACTGTGTTGAAACCATAGTTTAATGCAGCAGGATGACAATTTTAAAATAGTCATCTTTGCATGCAGGAACTAAACTAAACAAGTAGTGATTTATGTCCCTTGTGCTCAGACTTTATATAACAAAGCCTAACACTGTCCACTTCCCTCAAGATTTGCCTCCATGTCTTGGGATGTATTGCAATGCCTGAGAGATTTCAGCTGGTGCCCGGAGACCAGGCAACCCTAGTAATTACAAACCCGAGCATGAAACAGCCACTCTCACCACTATTTGACCTGGCCTTTCTCCAAAAACTGGGACTCAAGTTGGCCAAAAGAAGAGACCAATGAAATTTCACTTGGTACTGGCTAAAGAAAGAGCAGGGGGATACTTAAGAACTTACCTCCTCAAACTGACTGGTATTGCAGATGCCATATGACTTGTAAGAGTCCACTCCAGGGGGGATGAAATGGATAGGAAAGGTGAAGATTCCTGTATGTAGCACTCCCATGTCATATGGACGCAATTCTGGAGTATAGTATATCCTAATCCCTGAGTTATCAATTAAATCTTTTAAAAAGAAAAAAAAACATAATTAGGGTCTCTACAGATTTCCAGACTAGCCAGAAGCTACTGGGCTTGAGCCCGAATCAGTTAGAACGAAATGATTTGTAATATTTGGTGGTTATTTCGTATAATCTCCAAAAACAGATTGGGGAGGAGGGAACCAAAAAGCTCATTAAGAGAGCTGGATTTTACCAGCTACTGGAGAGGATGGAGTTAAGTCTGCAATATATCTGAGGCAGATGTCTGCCACGGGGCTCTTGGAGAAGATGGGTTTAACTATAGCATCTTTTCTCCATCCCTGGCAGCAGAAAAGTTCCCTAGACTCCTCCTCCAGAGAGGGTCCTACTGGGAACTTGCTTTCCTAGCAGCACTTGCATGGGGCAAGCATTGAAAAGTCTATGAGTTCCTCTTGGAGCATGATAGGAACTGAAGTTTCTCTCTCTGTGTTTCTCAGCCAATAAAAAGCCTGATTGTGTCCATGCTCTAATTGGCTGAGAATGGACACCACCGGCAATTACAATTCCCAGAACCCTCTCTTGTGGTTTGTTTTATTTTAAAAATGTTATGGTAAAAACGTAAAATGGGTTGTTGTAGGTTTTTCGGGCTATATGGCCATGTTCTAGAAGCATTCTCTCCTGATGTTTCGCATCCTCAGAGGTTGTGAGGTCTTCATAGACTCACCATTCTTCTAATCTGATTTTTTTCCTCCAAGGTGCACAGGAAAATAAATCATTTGCAAGAATTCTCTGTAATTGAGGATCCATTTTTTGGTCCCCTTTAGTTTAAACCAGAAGTGACAAACACATTTTTACTGAGGGCCACATCAGCCTTATGGTTGCCTTCAAAGGGTAATATGTAATTGTAAGACTGTATAAATGCAACTATGTCTCCCTGGCATTGAAAGCCTTGTGGGCTACATAAAATGACATAGTTGGGTGGATTTGGCCTGTGGGCCATGCATTTGACATATACAGTTTAAACCCACGCTGGGTTTTCTTAGAATCTAGCAAAATACACCTGTTTCCTCTCTCCCACTCTATTTTTGGGTCCTACCCCACCACAGCCCCTTTCCTTATCTCATTCACACATAACATACTCACCAGGAATTAAATTAAAATTGCTGTAGTGGATTTCTAAGCGGACCCACTGGGGATCCAACGGTGTGCCTATGGAAATTCCTGTTTCATCTGGGAACATGTAGGACTATAGGTAGGAGGCAAAGGAGGAGAAGGGAAATAGCAGTTTAAAAATCATGTTACAGTTTTGCCACTTTTTCCTTTAGCTTTAGAGGGACTGATTATGGGCTCATCTGCATATTCAGGACTAGCCTGAAGTAGTGTCCAGCTTAACCCAATTTACCCCACATTAAGGATTAGAAGTCCCTGGATGTCACCTGGATATCTAGGCTTGACTTCTAGGCCACTTAGAGGTAAAGGGCCTAGATGTCAAACAAGTCCACAATCACTGTAACTGGAACCCTATGCCCACCTGCTGAGGAGTAGGTTCCACTGAACGCTATTAGGCTTATCCCTGAGAAGACACATAGAAAGTGGCACTGGTGATACTCTGATGTTTTAGTGGGAAATGCTCACAAAAATCCCAAATTCCTGATGACTAAAAATGGCCAAGCACATACAGAATGGTATGCAACTGGTGCTTAAGATCCCCAGACCCTTTTACTTAGCTCCCTGGGAAATAAACTCCTCCTTACTCCTAAAATTCACGATGAAATGAAATCCCAGAATCTAACAACTGTTAAACTCACCTCAACCAGGGATGACAATTCAGTGCAATAGTTTGCTTATGGGCTGGATGTGGTTTGCATGGTTTGGAAAATTCCACATACTCACCCCTCCTCCTACAGCCCAGCCCACAACTACTTGGGAGCAGAGGGCAAAATCGGGATCAGCTCCATAGCAGTCACCGACACCAGTGGGCAACACACTTGCATTCCCACAAGCATAGACCAGGATATGATGTACTAGGGTTTCATTCCAGGGTGTGATCCTGGGCTCAAACTACAGACAGATAAAACATATTGCATTGTCAACAACAACCAAGGCTGCATCTACACTGTGGAATTAATGCAGCTTGACACCACTTTAACTGCCACGGCTTAATGTCATAGAAGCATTGGAACTCTTTGCAGAAGGTGACTACAGAATTATGCTGGAGGACTGACATATATCAAGAGGAGTGTTTTCTCTAGGAATCTCTGCAACTCTATGGACAATGTTGACCATAGAGTTTGACCGGAAGAACTAGAGATTCCAAGAGTCAACATATGCATCAAATCTGCTTATAACCAAGAGTATGAAAGTAAGATTCACTAATGTGGAGGGCTTACAATACTACTAAAAATAACAGTAAGTTAAAAATAGGAATCCATATTTACTTCATTGCTTTTTAAAAAGAAAATGAATAGCCATAATGTTCCTGCAGAGCCTCTAAGACAGCGTTTCTCAACCTGGGTGTTGGGACCCTGGGGTGTGTGTGTGTGAAGGGGTGTCAGAGGGGTCACCAAAGACCATCAGAAAACACAGTATTTTCTGTTGGTAATGGGGGTTCTGTGTGGGAAGTTTGGCCCAATTCTATCATTGGTGGGGTTTGGAATGCTCTTTGATTGTAGGTGTAATAGAAATCCTACCAAATACACTTCTCAAATGTCATGGTCTATTTTCCCCAAACTCCACCAGTGTTCACATTTGGGCATATTGAGTATCTGTGCCAAGTTTGGTCTAGATCCACAATTGTTTGTGACCACAGTGATCTCTGGATGTAGATGAACTACTACTCCAAAACTCAAGGTCCATGCCCACCATGCCAACCTTCCAGGGTTTTTTGTTGGTCATGGGAGTTCGGTGTGCCAAGTTTGGTTCAGTTCCATCATTGGTGGAGTTCAGAATGCTCTTTGGTTGTAGGTTAACTATAAATCCCAGCAACTACAACTCCCAAATGACAAAATCAATCATCCCAAACCCAACCAGTATTCAAATTTGGGCAATTTGTGCCAAATTTGGTCCAGTGAATGAAAATACTTTCTGCATATCAGATATTTACATTACGATTCATAACAGTAGCCAAATTACAGTTATAACCACCAGTTTCATCCCCTAAAACAGAGCTTACAGAGACACTTAAGAGGATAAGTGTAGCTACAGCATTTTCTGCCTTCTCTCCATTGTTACCTTGTAGATGTGATGTTTTGTCTTGACTATGGGCAGTGGAAGAAAAGTGCAGGCATAAGTGGTATCCTCAGGGACAGGGAACTGAAAAACCAAGTCAAGACACATAGTAAGAACAGAACAGAAGTTTACTGTATTGCCATTATATACTGTTAAAACTCTAGAAATAATGCACTATACTATGGCATTATAACATTTAGAACACAAGCTCTGCCTAGGTTTTGTATAACTTTCTATACTGCCTTTAACCCTTGCAGTATTGACAAGAAATATACGTATATACTCGAGTATAAGTTGACTCGAACATAAACCAAGACACCCAATTTTACAATGAAAAACTGGGAAAATGTATTGACTCAAGTATAAGCTGAGGGTGGGAAATGCAGCAGCTCCTGGCAAATTTCAAAATAAAAATACCAATAAAATTACATTGAACTATCCCTTGATTTAAAACGTTTGAGAACCCCTGGTATAGTTTCTACATTGACTGTGGACAATTTGACCCAGTTTTTTGGGTTCAACTTTTGACTAAAATTTTTATACTTATACAGGAGTATAGACAGTAATAATCATAATAAGGGATGAGATCTTAGGAGACTGTCCCTTTCTCAAGCAAAAAGAACCAAAAGATGGACTAGCTTCCTAGAAGAAGGAAAGAAGGATGGAGAAAGCTCAAATATACATTATATTCTGATGTGTTTCACACAACAATAATTTTGTGATTGAAAACCATATTAATATATTTATCTGAATGATAATTTATTCTATTTTTGCAAGATTGCCATTGGGTTTTTATTTTATAGATCAGCTTATTTGGACATGTATGTATAACACATGTATACATATAAGAAGGATAAGAAAGTGAGTAAATACTGCCTTGTGAATGATATGATGTTCATTGTTGATCAATAAATGAACAAATGCATTAAATCTATCTGAAACAGAAATGGAAACATTTCACAAGAGTTATCTTAAGTGATGCCAAACTCACATCATCTACTTTCAGATCATATACATGGTAGATACTGGGTGAGTGCAATTCCTCATCAGTTGACAATAGCATCATATAGAGAGATTTGTGAACTATTCGGCCTTTGAAGAAATCGATGGTGTCATCTGTGCCATAGCCAGCCATCAGTCTTAGTGTATCCCCCTGTGCAGGGAGAAATTAAAAGGGAAAATATTCCCTGTGAGATTACACTATTGCCATATATGTGCACACATGCACACGCAGGTAAACTGGCCAGGATAACGAAGAAAACATTATTTAATTTCCCCATTTATATGGTAGATTTTGTTAAAATTTCAGGGGTGTTTATGCAAGGTCAAAATGTACAAATAGAAGTAGATTCAAGAACTAGCAGATGAAAAAGTAGTCAGCAACACTTAAACATTTAAAAGCTTCTGTTGCTTTGCCTGCCACCAAATATCAGGGAGGTTTCTTGGGAGTCTTCTATATTTAGAGTGACAGGGCTGAAACTGTCTTATATCTAGTTGCCATCTGCTTCCTGACAAAGAAAAAATATATATAGAAGTGTGAAAATCCCTTGATAGTGTTACCATAAGTTGGAGATGACTTGAAGACACACAACAACAACAATCAAAGAAGAAGGAAGGTTGGGAATGGTCTAACTACTTGTGTTACAAGTTATCAAAGCTGTAGGAAGTCTGTAGGAAAAAAAGAGGAAATTCCAAATTTTGTTCCTGTCCTTTCTGATTTTATTTTAAAGATCCATACATTTTTTTTCCTACAGTATTTTCTGCCAGCTTCCAGTATGATCAGAAACTTTCTATATCAGCTCCTCTGATCAGGCATGTAGCCGGGGGGGGGGGGGTGGGGGGGGGGGGGGGGGGGGGGGGGGTGCCCTGAACAGGCATGTAGCCAGGGGACGGGGGGCTTGAGGGGCTTCACCCCCCCCCGAAATTCTCATGGTGGTTCGCGAAAAGGCCTTACTGGTGCATTATTTAAACTGTTATGTTTATTCATATCATGATCTGATCACCATACTCAATATATCCCATATGCATGGGGGTATTGGGGTAATGATACAAAAGGTTTGCTAGGGTAGACCCTCTTTCACTCAGACTCAGCCCCCCCCGAAACTCAGCCCCCCCCGAAACTCCCCCTGAAAAAAATTCAGCCCCTCTCCCCGAAACGAAATTCTGGCTACGGGCCTGCCTCAGATCAATATATTTGAATCCTGCATAAAACTGGAAGGAAGAAGAACAAAATTGGGGATTCCTATTTGTTTTTTGATCATTCTGGATGCACCCTGTCTGTATCCTTGTTGATATTACAAGCACTTGTCTCTCTGTTACCGTGATGTCCAGGTCATCTTCGTCACATGTTCGGAAATATCGCCGGAAGGCCATGGTAGTAGAAGTTGCATCCTGTGTCAATGACAACAACTCGTAGTCTTGCTTTTCATCTTCCAAGATTGTATCCTCACTCACACCATGCCAGTCCTGAGTGAAACAGGGAAAACAAAATGCACAAAGCCCAAGAAATACAATTACAGGTTTCCATTGAGGACGCCTGATTTCAAATTCTGTTTAGTTGTATATATCCTTGGGTAACATTGGACAAATCATTACAATCAAGACTGACTTACCTTGATAGCAAGTTAATAGGGGATAACCGCCGTGTACCTATTTATGCAATCCTATTTATGCTTAGTTAGACATTAACTGAAGAAAACTCAGTGGGATGTACTTCTATGTAAAGATATGTTGTTGTTGTTCATTTGTTCAGTTGCTTCCGACTCTTCGTGACCTCATGAACCAGTCCACGCCAGAGCTCCCTGTCAGCCATCACCATCCCCAGCTCCTTCAAGGTCAAGCCAGTCACTTCAAGGGTGCCATCCATCCATCTTGTAAAGATATATAGGATTTCATTTCATTTTCCTTTGGCAAATAATATTTCTCAGACACGTTATCTTACATTCTGTCTCCTCTATGGATGGTTGACCTAGAGGTGGGAGGAGGTGATCCTGTGTGATAGGGATCTCTGTCTTCTTTAACAATGGTATCCTATGTACAGAAGACAATTCTACATGCGAATAAGACTTTTCCTGCTTTCCCCCATTTTCCTCAGCTCTGTCTGATGAAGTTCCTAGTGTATGTGTTTGTTTAAAGTGATCAAATAAATTACTTTTTGCAAGGCATCCTTTGCATGGAACATGAAGTTGAAATAAATGCCCCCGATAAATATACAGATTTTGCTCATTATGATTTCCTTTACCAAGTCATAACCAACTTGAAGGCACACAACAGTGACAATACAGATAACATCAGTAACAAAAAGCATAGGACCTCATCACATGAGGAATTGTTAGTGTCCTAGGACATTTCTGCCCCAGAATATTTTTCTGTTGCTACACTGCTAAGAAAGATGTTACCAAAATACCTTGGACTGTTTTGTGTTTCCCTTGCATCTGCTTTTACAATTGGTTTTGGTTGTATTGATAACTTTATTATATCACCTTCCATAAGCTTATTGTAAATATTTATATTAGAATGCATATTTCCATATGTTCTAGATCCCAATTTTTTTATCCTGTATAGGTATTGGTAAGATATATATATATATATATATATATATATATATATATATATATATATGCATTTTTCACAGAATACATAATTTATGTGAATAATTTACTATTATAATGTGTGATTATGGCTTTTGGGTGAGAGGTTTTTTAAAAAATAGATAAGTAAGAAATATCTCATAGATTTATGACAATCTTTTGTTTATTCATTGTGGTAAACAGATGTACTTTTGACCTAATCTAGAAATTCTTATTCTAACACAGAAAAAAAAAATCTTTTTTTGGGGGGGGGGGGACAATACCCTGCCTCGATACTTCTCTCTTTCTTCCATTTTGAAGCAAAATGTGTGCTTTGTGTTTTGCTTCTGTTTTTTGGTCAGAGAGATAGAATTGGCTCCAGTAGTTCTTACTCAGACACACCAGACTGAAAAATCCATCAAGGACATATTTTCTCATTCTGAATTTTCAAAAATGGTGAAGTTTGCTCTAGATATGAGTGGAATGGTTATCCAATTGTAGGTAGTACAGATATCATGTCCCAATGTTTATGAGGAACAATATTGTCTAAATCAATGTGTGACCTCAACCAAAATAGAATCATCCTCCTTTCTCTGCCCTACTACTATATACAGGCAGGTTTCCTATGGAGCGGAAGAGGCAGTTCGAGGCTTCAGCTTACCGAGAAATAGACATTACCATCAGGTAGGACGCCACCAATCACAAAGTCTGCTCCTGTTATCTCTTTATTATGGGTGAAGCCAACCAAAACCCATCCTGTTGAGTGCACTTGAAGCTCAAATGTCATGGTGGCCTCTTCGTCATTGTGGTCCCATCGCAAGTAGATCTGGTGGGTGGGGTCCAGGAAAGCAGAGAAACGCAGTGGAGGCACAGACGCATGGCTGGCGCAAAGGCACAAGACAGATAGGAGGAACAACAGCATTTTCAGTGGTTGGTGGTGCATCGCATTATGGGCTCTCTCACACTCCCTTGCAGAGACTTCTCTGAGATAACCTGGGGCTCAGAGGATGACTGCTTTATATAAAATACTAGACAGAATGGATCCAGGGCCAGAGGGGAGGGGCTGTGGCTTTCATTCTGCCAGATCAGATTTTTTAAAGGTGATGGAATAAGCTTAGTATATTTATATAATGAGATGGAATCATTCCAAAAGGACTGCTGATTTCAAGTATTGTTAAAGGCTTTCATTGCTGGAATCTCTGGGCTGTTGTAGGTTTTTCGGGCTGTATGGCCATGTTCTAGAACAGGGGTCCTCAAACTAAGGCCTGGGGGGCTGGATACGGCCCTCCAAGGTCATTTACCTGGCACTCGCTCAGGGTCAACCTAAGTCTGAAACGACTTGAAAGCACACAACAATAACAACAATCCTATTTCATCAGCCAAAAGCCAAAAGCAGGCCCACACTTCCTACTGAAATACTAATTAGTTTATATTTGTTAAAATTGCTCTTCATTTTAATTATTGTATTGTTGTTAAGTTTTTTTTTGCACTACAAATAAGATATGAGCAGTGTGCATAGGAATTCATTCATTTTTTTCAAATTATAATCCGGCCCTCCAACAGTTTGAGGGACTGTGACCTCTGTTTAAAAAGTTTGAGGACCCCTCTTCTAGAAGCATTATCTCCTGATGTTTCGCCTGCATCTGTGGCAGGCATCCTCAGAGGTTGTGAGGTCTGTTGGATCAAAACTCAAACACGGGGGAACTCCAGACAAGAAACAACCAGGAACACCTAATCAGCTGTCAACAAAGGATTCCCCCAGGCACACCTAAAAACCGTCAGGCCATTAAATGCTAATCAAGGTAGCCAACTGAAACATTCACACCCAGCTCCAACAGACATGAGTTCTTTTTCCCACCATGGACATTCCACAGATATATAAACCCAATTTTCCTAGTTTCCAATAGACCTCACAATCTCTGAGGATGCCTGCCATAGATACAGGTGAAACATGCTTCTAAAACATGGCCATATAGCCCGAAAAACCTAGATTTCAAGTATGTTCTTCAAACAAGAAGTTTCTCTTATGAAATTATTTGGTGGTGGAAAACCTTCATTAAATCATTAAGGGATGTGTCTCTAAAGTATGTAGACTTATATTTACTATAATTTACTGTTTGGTGATTTGATAAGAAGGAAGAAAGAAAGAAAGAAAGAAAGAAAGAAAGAAAGAAAGAAAGAAAGAAATCAAAGTTGTTTAGTTTTCTCTCCTAAACAAGGATTAAGCTTGTTCATTTGACGAACAAGGCAAATGACAATCTCCTCATTTGCGAGATTGTCTTTTGCACATTTTGTTATTCCCAGATTCCATAAATAACCAATAAAACTAATAATAAACTAAAACTAACTATTTCCACAGGGACATTATATTATCTTTTCATCATATTGACTTTTTGCAGTTATCCAGCACTGCCCCCTACTGGAACACTCATTTTGGGGCAGTGATTTGTAACTAGAAGCATGATCCAACTCAAGTGAAATATATATCAGTCCTGTTGATTAGAGTAGCACACGCTTGTTAATGTATTCACTTATAATTTTATTTCTATCCCACCTCTTTCTCTGCAGACAGACACATGGCTCAATCTATTGCTGAAAATCTATTTGAGATGAGAGTATTTAACTTAAGTTAGGGTTCTTAATGTATGCATTATTGTGTGTGTCAGGAGCGACTTGAGAAACTGCAAATTGCTTCTGGTGTGAGAGAATTGGTCGTCTGCAAGGACATTGCCCAGGGGGCGCCCGTATGTTTTACCATCCTGTGGGAGGCTTCTCTCATGTCCCACATGAGAAGCTGGAGCTGACTGATGGGAGCTCACCCCGCTCCCTGGATTCAAACTGCTGACCTTTCAGTCAGCAGTCCTGCTGGCAGGAGGTTTAACCCATTGCACCATCAGGGCTCCTAATGTATGCAATAAATATATGTAAATTGGATTGCACATTCATTTTAGTTTGCATTTGTCTGAAAACTTGGGCTGCAATAGATACCATCCCTCTCCTTGGTTGTGTTCCTCTGCCTGCCCACCTCTCTTTATATCAGTTCCTGTCACATTATTGAAATACACAACAACCTGACAAATGTAGCCCATTTCTCACAACCACAACCACTTCCTTCTGGTTAGCATTATCAATACACATGTCCCTTTGTCCTTAGTAGTGTGGTCTCAATGTATCCTTTGTCACCCACGAAGACTTAAGCTTCACTGTTTGTCTTCACAATCCATTCTGTGTCAGTTGCCAAGTCTTCTACAGATGTCTTTTTATTCATTTTATCTTCTTTCACGTATTTTGATCACCCTTTGTTGTCTCCTTTTCCTGGAAACACCTCAGAGGTTCTTCAAGCGCCAAAATGGAGATATTCAATCTTGTTCAATATGTCCTCTTTTCAGGAAACTGCTTTATTCTTATCTTTTCTTAAGCCGTCCCAGGTATAATCCTTAAACATGATTCCTTTTCAACATCATATCAAAAGCAGGCCCCACATCAAAAACTTGTGTTCTTATGCAGGAGATGTTTTCTGCCCCTGAAACAGAACGAAATAGATAATCAGGGCTATAGAAAAGACTCCTGAAGATCCAAGCTTGCTATATAGATATAAAGAACCCTAGACTTAGATGTTAAGGACAGAGATGTAAAGCACAGCCTATCATTCTCGGGGTGTGGGTATGCATGTTTATTTGTTGGTTTGCTGTTCTTTGTTCTGCCAAAGTACATAGCAAACACAGGTTAGATGAAGCTATCATAGAATCATAGATTTGGAAGAGACCTCATGGGTCATCCAGTCCAATCCCCTGCCAAAAAGCAGGAAAATCGCATTCAAAACAACCCCAAAAGGGTTCTGTCCTGGGCCCAGTCCTGTTCAACATATTTATTAATGACTTAGATGAAAGGTTAGAAGGCATGATCATCAAGTTTGCAGACAACATCAAATTGGGAGGAATAGCCAATAACTCAGAAGACAGGTGCAGAATTCCAAACAATCTTAACAGTGCCAAAAACTAGCAAAATGAAGTTCAACAGTGACAAATGCAAGACACTCCACTTAGGCAAAAAAAAAAATGAAATACAAAGATACAGAATGGGGGAGGCCTGGCTTGACAGCAGTACAGGCGAAAAAGATTTTTGAGACCTTGTGGATAATAGTAATAATAATAATCATCATCATCATCATCATCATCTTTATTTATAACCCGACACCATCTCCCCGAAGGAACTCAGCTAACATGAGGCAAAGCCTAAGAATTACAATAAGGCAAAATAAACAACAAGTTAAACATGAGTCAACAAATTAAATTAAAATGGCAAAAGAGGTGTTGATGAAGATTGCAAAAACAAATTAGAGTGCCAAATTAACCTGTTAATACAGTATTACAAGACTCTTATCTAAGGAAATCCAAGATTAAAGTGATGATATAAGCCATTGAAATCCTTTACTAAAGACAGATTAAGTGTCCTCTGTTCGGTGTGCTCTTTCCAAAAGTTTAGAATATACAGACTGTGATTCATTTGCCTAGAGGTACACACCCCACTTACTGCAAATGTACAGGGACTGGGGTATCTTAAACAATGTTTTGTAATAGACCAGGTGCAGGCCCGTAGCCAGGATTTTGATTTTGGGGGGGCTGAGTCTCAGCAAGAGAGGATCTACCCTAGCAAACCTTTTGTATCATTATCCCAATACCCTCATGCATATGGGATATATTGTACATGGTGATCAGATCATGATATGAATAAACATGATAACAGTTTAAATAATGTACCAGTAAGGCCTTTTCATGGACCACCCTGAGAATTTCGGGGGGGGGGGGGAAGCCCCTCAAGCCCCCCCACCCCGGCTACATGCCTGACTAGGTGGAAAGGAAATAGTGACCAAATGGAAACAAAATCTAGTCATCATCTGAAACCAACTTGCTTTTGCTTCTCATGTTTACCCATAAACAAATATTCATAACTTGGAACACCTGCATCTTTTGGGAGTACAGGCAGCCCTCTGTACTAACTGGAGCTAGGGGAACAAAACTCCCGCAAAAGTGGGAGAAGAATGAATTTATTTTTTAAAAAACTCGATTATTTTAGCTGAGATAACATCTCTCTGGGTATCACTAATTCCCTGCGTCAGGATTAGTTTCTTAGATATGGCTATCACTATCTTCTGTGGGTGACCAGATGAAGTCTAGAGCTCATATGGGAAAAACTGGTACCATATTTGGAATTAGCAGGTCGAATATACCAGAAACATGGCTAACATTTGTGGCACTGATGTGTGTTTTCCAGTGTACCCATCTGTTCATTTATTTATTCTTTTCTAAGTTCTGTTTATGACCAGAGAAGAGCCATCAGTGAATCTGACCTACTCCGAGGTGCATACCATTTATTTCAAAATGAATTAATGTATTGTCAAAGGCTTTCATGGCAGAATCACTGGGTTGTTGTAGGTTTTTCGGGCAGTATGGCCATTTTCCTAGTTTCCAACAGACCTCACAACCTCTGAGGATGGCTGCCATAGATGCAGGTGAAACGTCAGAAGAGAATGCTTCTGGAACATGGCCACACAGCCTGAAAAACCTACAACAACCCAACATGAATTAATATTATGAGTTGCCTTTGCCTTTGGTTGCATCTGCACTGTAGAATTAATGCAATTTGTCAATACTTCAACTGCTATGCCACAATGTTATAGAGTTATGGGAAGCATAGTTGTAGTCTAAACTTCTCTATTAAAGAGTTCTGGTGCTTCACCAAATTACTGTCTATATATGTGTGTCTGTGTATCTTCAAAGAACAATTATCTTCCTGGTTGATTGTACTTTTAAGTTGTTGGCATGTGTGGTTTCTCTCTAATTTCCTGTTTCTTCCCCTTGTAACTTCCTGTTCTCAACATCTGTATTGAGTTGCATTTGCTTCTTGATGCAAGTCAGATATGTTGCTCTATCTGCAGTTAGTCCAATTGGGTTAAAGACACAGTGACAACTTTTTGTTTTCTGCAGAGATGACAAGAAGTTCCTATTTGCTTGCCATTTTATGTTTTTCATCTGGTAAGTGATTCGCTCCCATCACTTATATCAACCTTGGGACTTGGCCTGATATACAACACTATTGATTTCTTTTTATACATGCATGTAGATGTAACAATTTCTGAAGGAGTAGAAATGGCACCAATAGAGGTGTTGTTTACATGATATAAAGATTGTGTACATGATATAAAGATTGTGTACAGAATTTTTATATCATGCATGTCTTGTATCAATTCAGTTCCTGCAAAACTGTAAAATATCATTGAAAACCTTTAAGAGGATGTTGCAGTTGTCTTAGGGACCTTCCTGACAAGCCCTATATCCTAGGATCTGGTCCCAGGTTTTTTGTTTACCCCAGATTATTTGACAGTGTGGACCCATATAATTCAGTTTAAAGCAGAAAACCTGGGATCAGATCCTGGGATATAGGGTCAGTCTGGAAGGGGCCTGAGTGATATATAGTAACCCAGCTTAAGTTCACAAAGAATCAGTTTACCTGATTTAATTAAACTATCAATTTAATCAACACTTAAATGTCTAGACAGAGATAGGGAACTGAGGAAGAAATAAATTGTAAAATGTCTTTGTCCAGCTTCGTTTGTACCATATCTTTGTACCGTGTTCTTCTGACTTTTCTACAGATTGTGATAAAAGCATGCCTTGGGCAGCAGGTTTTGCTGAAAATGGATTCAATTTCTAATCATTGTTTTTAATTCAGCCAATGAAGTCTTCAACTACTGAGTTCTTCTTCTTCTCCTTCTCCTTCTTCTTTTAGGGTTTGCTCTTAATCAATCTCCAGATGTGGTGGCCTGGGAGGGACAGCCAGTCAGTCTCACCTGTTCACAGGTGGGAACCAATGATGTGTACATGTCCTGGTACAAGCAAGAAAGGGTCAAGGATGCTCGCCTTCAGCTGATTCTTTTAACATCAGAAGGTTCTACAGGAAATCCGGTCATTGAGAAGGAATTTCAAGACCGTTTCAGTAGCACCGGCATGGCAAAATATAAATTGCCTCTGTCTTTGAAGAATGCCCAGGTGGGAGACACCGGCACCTACTTCTGTGCAAAGCAAGATTACACAGAGAGGCAACTGCTGAGGAAGCCAAGCATAAACCTTTTCACAGCAGGATGCAAGTATGATGGGCTCAAACACAGCACCAGTCAGAATATTTTGGGACTTAACGAAGAAAACATTGACTGCATTCCTTTGTGTGTATGAGATTTGTATGTGTGTGTATATGTCTTCCATTATCTGTCAACTTATGCATCTCACAGGGTTTTCTAAGGCAAGAAATGCTCAAAGGTGGTTTGCCCAATTCTTCCTCTGAAATATAGGAGCTGGTCCATGAGGTCACGAAGAGTCGGAGACGATTGAACGAATGAACAACAACAACACTTTGTATTCATTTATTCTAGCCAATTCTACTGGAGAAATTATACTGTTTAGCTCTGCCTGACATTCATCGGGAAGTAGCAACTTATAATGAAAGGACCAAGGCATTGACATGTCTGGCTCATCCTCTGTTTGGGTATCAGCCAGCGTGCCAATGCCTTAATCAAGAAATAGCTTCCTAAAATCTACAGAGATACTCGCAGGAACACCTCAGCAAGCAAGAGTCCTAAAGTGGCAGGCTAGAATCCGGAACCTCAAACAGTGGCTGCTACTGGATGAGACCCCCCCCTCCCCCGGGCACACAGAAAACTGGGCAACTTGGAAGGAGCTGAACAGACTGTGCTCTGGCACCAAGAGATGCAGAGCCAATCTTAAGAAATGGACACAAAGTGAAGTCCATGACATGTGAGTGTGGAGAAGAGCAAACCACAGACCACTTACTACAATGCAGGCTGAACCCTGCCACATGCACAATGGAGGACCTTCTCACGGTGAAACCGAGGCACTCTAATTGGCCAATTTCTGGTCAAAGGACATTTTGGATAATGCCAAGTTTTAACTTTGTTGGTAATTTTTTGCACATTATAACTGTACTAGCTGTACCCGGCCACGCGTTGCTGTGGCGTAGTGTGTTGTTATGGAAAATAAAGTACTGACAAAGTAGTGGTATTTAAGAACTGTTATTTACTAATACTTGTGGATACACAATATTTTTGGTTGTTCCACCTTCCTTCTCCTCCCTCCCTTCATGTCCCTCCTTTTTCCCCCTTCCTTCCCTTCTTTCCCCCCTCCTTTTTTCCTTCCTTCCTGTCCCTCCTTCGTTTCCTCCCTCTTTCCCATTCTTCATTTCCTTCCCCTTCATTTCCTTATTAAATGGAAGGGACAGTCAAGGAAGGAAAAGGGGAGGGAGGGAAGGAGGAGAAGGAAGGAAGGAGGGGAAGAAAGGAGGGAGGGATGGAAATGAAGCAAGGGAAAGAAGGAGGAAAGGGAGGGAGGGAGGAAAAGAAGGAAAGGAAGGATGGACAGGAAGGAAGGGAAGGAGGGAAAGAAGGAAAGGAAGGAGAAGGAAGGAAGAAAAGGAAAGAAAGGGAGGAAAGAAGTGTGGGGAGGGAGAGAAGGAAGGTCCTTCATTCAAGCACCGTGGACCTTCCTCCTCCCCCTCCCCCCCTCCCCTTCTTCCTTGCGTGGATGCTCCGTTGCTGCTGCCATTGCTGCTGCTTTCCCAACAGGTAGTGAGGGAGCCTGTGTGTGTGTGTGCCGCGCGGGGGTGGGGGGGGGGGGAGGGGGGAGTTGGGATGGGTGTAGACAGAGTGGAAGGGGGCGTGGCTTGGTGGTGACGTGAGCTGGGTTAGAGGGAGGAGGGGGAGTTGGGATGGGTGTTAACGGTGCGGGAAGGGGGCGGGGGGAAGGAGTGTGGTGCGTGTGTGTGTGTGTGTTTGTGTGGGCGGTGGAAGCGTGCGGGGCTTGGTTGCCTGTTTGTGGTGAGGCGAGGGGCGAGACAAAGGGGGTCGATGAGGGTCCACCCCGAAGCCCACCGAGAGGGATCTGGCTGCGTCGCGGTCCTTGTGGTCACTCTGTCCGGAGGGAGTGGGCTGCTGCTGCTGCTGGTGCCCCCCTTTGGAGCCCCTTTTCCCGATGCCCCGCTTTGTGTTTCAGTCTGAAAAGAGGAGGAGAGGAGAGCGCTGCCGGAAGGGAGGGAGGAAAGTGTGGAGTGTGCGCGCGGCGGGGAGTTTGCGGTAGTGCGCATGCTCAGTTGCTTTGCCGTTTATTGTGGTTGTTGTTGTGTGTTTTTGATTTCTGACTGGATTAGTTTGTACCTTGTTGGTTGCCCTTGGGGCATGGGAAGTTTGGTGGAGTTTCGTTGGGGGGTTTTGGAGTTTTGTTTCCTCATACGACGCCAGGAGGAAATTTATATATATAGATTCTCAATTCGCTTCTGACACAATAAAAAGAGCCACTTCTACTGTGGCACTGTGTACCTTCCAACAAAAGACAAAGTAAGCAAGATTTGCCATAAGCACATCTTACTGATCATGCAAATGAACAGTTACAGAGGGGGAAAAGGAGACCAGATAAGCCTGCCTCATTACTCCCAAAATTTTAAAACAGCATAGATCTCTAAAAATGTGGAAGTTAATAAAAAATAAAAAGTCACCCTGGAAACATTTTGGAAGAAGTCTTAACATGGTTACTAGATGGTTCACAGTTTTTGGTTTACTTAGGCAAAACTTGGAAGCCCCCGGTGATGCAGTGGGTTAAACCACTGAGCTGCTGAACTTGCTGACCGAAAGCTCACCAGGTAGAATCTGGAGATCGGGGTGAGCTCCCACTGTTAGCCCTAGCTTCTGCCAACCTAGCAGTTCAAAAACATGGATATGTGAGTAAATCAATAGGTACCACTCCAGCGGGAAGGTAACAGTGCTACATGTAGTCATGCCGGCCACATGACCTCGGAGGTGTCTATGGACAACACTAATTCTTCGACTTAGAAATGGAGGACCACCAACTCCCAGAGTCGGACATGAATGGATGTACTGTCAAGGGAAAACCTTTACCTTTACCTAGGCAAAATTTAGGCCCCTTCTACACTGCCATATAATCCCAATTGTCAAAGCATATTATCCACATTATCTGCTTTGAACTGGATTATATGAGTCTACACTGCCATATAATTCAGCTCAAAGCAGATAATCTGGATTTTGTATGGCAGTGTAGAAGGGGCCTAAGTTAACATGGCTGTGTTATTTTATATGTACCGTATATAATGTTAGTTTGAATAAAAAAAAATCAGAAATATGTTGAAGTGCTCATTTTTGGGGTGTGAGAACCTATGCAAACTCTTTCCCTTTTACATATAGCTCTGGTAACATATTTTCTGTTAAAGGTGGCCCTATCTATTCTGCCATATATGCATTCATTGTATTATATTGCAGCATAGCTATGATCTCTATGGGTTTAGGCAGCTTAAAACTCACTGTGTTGACACAAGAAAACCCTCTTTCACACTAGCCATCCAGAGCCAACCTATGCTGGGGTATGTCCAATAGACAAGTATGAATGAGACCTGCCCAAACAATGTCTGTTAATTGTTTTGGTACCTATACTCTGATCAGACTCTTTTACTGATCATTTCCAGGAGGGGGCAATGCTGCATAAACATCCCAGCAACATAATGTCCCTACAAAAATGTCAATTTTGTGTCTCCTGGCATTTGCAATAGAATAAAACTCATCTTGCCTCAGAAAAATATGTAACAAAATGTGTGTGTGCGCATGTGTGTGTGTATGTATATATAGGTTCACCACTACCCCTCAATTTTACATGAGGGGGATTTTTAAAAAGTTTTTTTTAAAACAAACCTCAGAATTAGGACAAAATAAGAATTGTAGCATTATTGTGGGAAACAGAACACAAATAACGCAGAGAGATGCTTGCATCCCTAGTTCTGCTTAGGAGCCAAATACAAGCAATACTACAGGACAGCAACTGGCCTATCCACACTGCAGAAATATAGCAGCTGGACATTACTTTATCTGCCATAGTTCCAGCTTATGGAATAATGGGATTTGTAGTTTGCTGCATAAGGGTAGCAGTATTATAAAACTACAAAAACTACAAATCTAAGAATTCTATATGAATAAGCTATGGCAGTTCATTTGATCTCAAATTGCTATAATTCTGCAGTGAAAATGCAGTCTCACTAGTTTGCTCCCCCCCCCCCCCCAGCTTTGAGACAGTAGTCACTGTAGATGTGCTCCCTGATATGAAAGACATCTGGAAAGTGACATCCCATTACTCTTGGCCAGTTCAGCCAGCAGGGGGTGCAGAGGGTTTTTTTTTTGTTGTGTCAGGAGCGACTTGAGAAACTGCGAGTCACTTCTGGTGTGAGAGAATTGGCTGTCTGCAAGAACATTGCACAGGGGACGCCCAGATGATTTGATGTTTTATCATCCTTGTGGGAGGCTTCTCTCATGAGGAGCTGGAGCTGATAGAGGGAGCTCATCTGCCTCTCCCCGGATTCGAACCTGCAACCTGTCAGTCCTGCTGGCACAGGGGTTTAACCCACTGCACCACTGGGGGCTCCTGGTGCAGAGGTAAAAACCGACCTTTCCCCAACTCCTCCATACTTTTCATTGGGCGACTAAGGGTCTCTGGGTCACAAGCAGATGAAGCCATTGCACACAGCTGTTTGTGCTTTAGTTAAGGCTTCTATGGGAATGTTCCCCAATGCACTGAACCCCACGCTTTTCAAAAGTCCCTCCCACTCTTCTATCTATCTGTAGGGCCATGTTATTCCTTATAAAAGATCCATTCTCCTCAATTGAATGAGCATGTCTTCTTGCATGTAGAATATGTAACCCGTTAGATGGCTCTCAGACTTTACCTACCACAATTTCTCATCACTGACTGGTCAAACATTTATTGTGACTCTGGGGATCTGGGTTCTAATCCCCGCTCAGACATAGAAACTCACTGGATCAACTTGGACAAGTTCTACTCCCTCAACTTCTAGAAAAGGCAAAGGTGAACCCCTCTATGAACAAATCTCACCAAGAAACCCCATGATATATTTGCCTGGGGGTCACAATTGTTGGAGATCACACAAAGGCACACAACACCAATAACATAGGCCAGTGGTTCCCAACTTTTTTGATTCCTGGAACCCTTTTTAGAATCAGTTTCTATGGTGGAGCTCCTTAGACCTATCCTATGTCTCACACATTATTGATTTTTAGAAGTAGTTTTTGTGTGTGTCAGGAGCGACTTGAGAAATTGCAGGTCGCTTCTGGTGTGAGAAAATTGGTCGTCTGCAAGGATGTTGCCCAGGGGATGCCAGGATGGTTTTTTGATGTTTTATCATCCTTGTGGGAGGCTTCTTTCATGTTCCTGCATGGGGAGCTGGAGCTGACAGAGGGAGCTCAACCTGCTCTCCCTGGATTTGAACTGCTGACCTCTTGGTCAGCAGTCCTGTCGGCACAAGGGTTTAACCCATTGTGCCACCAGGGGCTCCAAGGAATAGTGTTGCAGGGGAGGAAGAGGGGATAGATAGTAAGGGAGTGCAAAGTAAAGCAATATCTAAACTATTGCACAATGTCCATGCAATGAAATTGTATTGTAAAAACTTTGAAATTTACCATAATATCTCAATTTATTCTCAACTACCACCAATACACATGATATTGTCAAAACTTGGCATACATTAAAATTCTTCCAAAGTTCAATAAATCAAACCATATGTATTGCAATGCAACAGTAGGCCTGAATTAAGACATAATGTAAAATAATGTATAAACATTTAAGAAACATTTAAGAAACACCTATGGTTGTATTTTTTGCACAGTTTTTTTTTTAAATTTTAGGTTCAATTCATGATAATTGCAGGTGAATGTCTGGTTCTTCATTTAAGCAGCATTTGTGTTTTGTTTTGGTACCGGTTAAGGTGGATAATCACATTTCACAGAGTTATAGTATGTATTTGAGAAATATAGCAATACTAATTTTGCTTTCTCAGGCAAGATTTTAAATTCACTTGTAAATGCAGTCAGAATTTTGGTGAACATTAGTTTTGAAACATGAATTTTAGTTTGCTGTGAAGTGTCAAATCTATAAGGAACTCATATTCTGCTGAGTTGAAGTTAGGTGGTTTTTTTGTTTATGCTGAACACATTTAGTACTGATTTAAAGTCATCAAGCATTTTCTCTTGAGTTGTTGGAAAATAATAACTCCCTCTGCTAGTTCAGGGGTCTGCCACCTTCCTCTTAAACAGCTTCAGCTGCATTCAAGTAGGCAAATGAAATGGAGCTCTATGGAAAAATGAAGGGTGAAACATTGGCCTTGAAACTTTTTTTTTGTTTCCTGCAGTTGATGTTAATGGTGACTGGTCACATGGAAGATATATCACCTGGCAGCCTTAAGCAATAAAAATTTAGCAGTTGATCACTGGAAAAAATAACACAGAGTAGAAGTTATGAGCTTCTTCAGGGAGAAAGACAGTCCCCACTAGCAAAATAGAGAAAGCATAAATAATCACCAGACCCTGCTTTGCATGAATCGTACGTTAATTTTCATGTCTCTGCTTTGCATGAATCATAGCTTTGAATTCAAATTAACTGGGAAGCTGTGATCAGTTGAACCGTATGGTGCGTTCAATCCATGAGATGTAGTTGCAAATCTTGGTATAGACTCCAGGAGAGCCCTCATTAAAGTGCAAAGTGCTCCAGGAGAAAAAACCCTGGAGCTTCCCATTGCAGACTACAGGATAACCACTATCACCCTGTAAAGAAATGTGAAGGAAGCACATCATGTAAGTGATACAGTCAGAAAGAAAAGATTATTTGCATTCAAAATTGATCTCCCCCACCACCTAAAATTAGATAGGACTAGTGGTTGCAGCATGTAGTCCATGGGCTGCACCCTGATGTATACCATGGACATTTTCTCTAATCACACTAAAATATATACAACAATCTATAGCAAAGAAGTTAGTTATTTTAAGCAAAGAAAGAACACTGATTGCTACGTAAAGCAACAAAGAACACTCTTGTAATGTTATCTGTTACACTTTAGATGTCATGAGCCACCAAATCAACCAACTTGTCAAGACCATATGAGTAAGGGCCCTTCTACGCTTACCTAAAACTCAGGAGGAAGCGTGTTAAAATAACCTGCTTCCTCCCGGATTTCAGTTCCTACCCACTAACACAAGTTGACCCAGGATGGCATCCAGCCCCCCAGTCCCTAATTTCCCTACCAACACTTACCTGAGGAGTCTGCCAGTAGGCTAAGGTTTGATGGGGAAATGGGTTGGGGGGAGGAGTGTGCCATCCTGCTTCTTTGGGCTCCAGGGATGAGTGTAGGGATATCTGTGGGATTGGTCCCTGGGACTGCAAAAGCAATCCCAGGAGTCAATCTCCTTATGGCCTACACCTGGAAAGATCCGGACCCTAGTTTAGACTTATATAGTTATGTATAGTTATATTTTGTATAGTTATATTTTTGACTAAAACTAAAAGTTTTAGTCAAAAATCAACTCCAAAAACCTATGTCAACTCACTCATGAGTCAGTGTGAGTACTGTATCTTAACTCTTATCTAAAAAGGAACTGTTGCCTTCTTACGGAGAAGAACTGTGAGGTCAAATGAAAGTACCTCTTCTGAAACAGGCACAGAAGTGTTTCCTAAGAAAAATACTTGGAAGAGAAAGTGCCTTTTTGGATGTCTGGGCAAAATATTGTGGCAGCGGGAGCCGGGGGTGGCTGCCCCCTAAGGTGGTACTTGTGTTCTTTCCTCTCTACATAATGGTCTTTGACTTATCCACGAGTCATATCAAAATCCATTGTTTTGGACCCAAAGCATTCCCTTGACTTATATATGGGATTGACCTATACATGAGTATATATGGTAAATAATCATACTATTTAAAAATAACTCATTTGGGGAGAATCGGAATTCCTTTGAAGGCACTCATAGGACCTCAAGAACATGATTGTATCAGTTTATTATGCTTAACATTCATTAATATTCCTATTTGGCTATGTGTAGTAGCATTGCTATTGTACCTCCTGGCATATACCACATGTTGACAAAACCACAAAGAGGACTTACTATAACTGCCGAGGTTTCTTCTCCAACCAAAGATGAGACACTCTGTCCCAGCTGTGACACAGCTGGTGGGTAGAGAGACGGATGTGACCTGGTTGTTAAGGGTGACTGCTGGTGTAGACAGCTTGATCAGCATTATGTCATTGTCAAAGGACTTGGAGTTGAAACTGGGGTGAGGTATGATTTTGGCTGAATTTATGTATTGCTCAGAGCCATCATTTAAGGACCAATCATTTCCCGCAAGTCTCACTTGGAATTGTCTGGGTTGAGAGCTGGAACAAGAACACCATGAAACAGCCCCACTACTAGCCAAACACTTTTGATACCTGCAAGCTCAAAGCTGTTGCATCATCAACATTGCTGCTCTTGGGAGCATCCTTTTGCTCAATGTGGAATGAGCACTGACAAATGTTCAATTGAAAAGTAGTTAATAATACTCTTTTGGAAACAAATTCATATACTTAAGCAATCAAAACATCTTCAGCAATGATACTGAAGATGATGATTGCAACTGCGAGTGTGGAAAGTAGTGTTTCATGCTCAGGCTTGTTACCACTTAAAACAATATTATTATTTATTATTTCAAACATTTGTACTCTGTCCTTCTCAACCCCCGAGGGGGCACTCAGGGTGGCTTACACTGGCAACACTTTGATGCCAACACACAACATAACAATAAAACACAATTAAAACATTGATTAAAACATTAAATATAAATAGGCAGTTAAAACATTATTAACAATAATATGACTGCATCCAAATTCAATTCAACATTCAGGGACTTAGTCCAAAGCCTGTACATTTTCAGTTCACATACATCAACTGTGATTGCTGATAAGCCTGCTGTCCAAATGCCTGGACCCACAACCATGATTTGAGCTTTTTCCTGAAGGAAAGGAGAGATGGCACCAATCTAATTTCACTGGGGAGTGAGTTCCACAGACAGGGGGCCACCAATGAGAAGGCCCTATCACAGGCAGAATCACAAGTGCATTTTTACTTACAATTTGTAGCAGGAGGCAGCTGACACAACCCACTGGTTGTTGATTAGGGAACCCCCACAGATGTGGCCATTATCATTTAGCGAGACTTGATATAAGAATGAATTTTTCTGGCAGGTGTATCCTCCCTCAATCTTATCATTATCGGCATCATTGATGGGGAAGGGAACTAAGAGAAAACCACAGAGAATTCCATCATTGGGGTTCCTGGGAGGCATATGTTGAGCTGGTAGCTTGGTTCTCAATACATGCCACCACCCAGCTTAAATTTAGTGCATTGTGCAGAATGCCAATTTAAAAGTCTTATTCACATATATCATATTTGCTTTAACTGACACTATGGGCACAGATGACTGGAGCTTGAATTAGACTGTTTTTTGTTAATATGTTTATGGTTTTATTTAAAAATCTTACATGCCACTTCAAAACTACTTCATCTCAGTGATATTTACAGCATTCCCTGGAACATTTTGTCCCTTAAATTAGGCTGCATGAGAGCCCAGAAAAAGTCATTTAAAGGGCCACAAATCTAAGAGTCTCTGGACCAGCATGATTGTTACCCATGATTGATGGGGATACTGGGCTGGATTATTTGGGAAGGTGAGGACCTTTGAGCTGAGACTTCCAAAGGCCCTGTCCCAAACTACATTTCCCAGAATTCTGCAGGTGGCAGAGATGCCAAGAATGCAGAGGTGCTAGCTTTGAAATGGTAGTCCAATAAAACACTAAAAAAGCTAATCCACTCTTCTTGGGTTTGTGTAGCTTAACTGTACCTTATTTTGATTCTGAATTGTCATGTCATCTCCAAATTGTAACTTCTTAATCTTTCAGATTAATACCTACTTCTTTGGTTTAATTTAATAAATTCTGAATAAATATTTCTACGGCTGTAATGAGAAGAAGGTAAACAAAGCCTTTCAATTTACACTCACCACAGAAACTATCACGAATTAAATTTAGGAACTGAGTTATTTAGCTACTGTCCTTAAAGCCAGAAAGTTGCATTGAAAATTTTCAAATTCACTATGATACTCACAGTAGTAAAGAAACAGAGACGTGACTGTTAGCTTAATAAGCACAATTGTCACAAGATAGCTCACGAGTTTCCAGTTCATATTTAGATTATTCCCAAGCTTCTTTGCATGCAGTACAGTTTTCTAAATATCTGAAATCCGATTAACTCTACTTCTAGGTTGGATCTGTAAGGCAAACATTAGCAGTGTTACTGGCTAACTATTTTGTGGGATATAGAGATTTCTGTTAATAAACACCTAGTAAAGATAAAATAAAGGTTTTCCCTTGACATTAAGCCTAGTCAAGTCTGACTCTGGGAGGTGGTGTTCACCTCCATTTCTAAGCCGAAGAGCCGGCATTGTCTGTAGACACCTCCAAGGTCATGTGGCACCATTAACTTCCCACTGGAGCTAGGTTGGCAGAAGATGGGGCTAATGATGGGTGCTCACCCCTGTTTGAACCACTGATTTTTCAGTCAGAAGTTCCACAGATCAGTGGTTTAACCCTTTGCACCACCTAAAGCAGTGGTTTTCAATCTTCCTAACGCTGTGACCCCTTAATATAGTTCCTCATGTTTCATTGCTTCATAACTATACATTTGCTACTGTTATGAATCATAATGTAAATATTTGATATTCAGGATGTATTTTCATTCACTAGATCAAATTTGGTATAAATACCCGATACACCCAAATCTGAATACTGGTGGATTGGGGTGGGGGGGGGGGTGGGTTGATTTTGTCATTTGGGACTTGTAGTTTCTGGGATTTATTTAACCTACAATCAAAGAGCATTCTGAACCCAACCAATGATGGAATTGAACCAAACTTGGCACACAGAAGGGTTTGGTGGGCATTGACCTTGAACTTTGGAGTTGAAGTTCACCTACATCAGAGAGCACTGTGGACTCAAACAATGATGTGTCTGCACCAAATTTGACACGAATACTCAATATGCCCAAATGTGAAGCCTGGTGGAGTTTGGGGAAAATAGACTTGACATTTGGGAGCTGTAGTTGCTGGGATTTATAGTTCACCTACAATCAAAGAGCATTCTGAACCCCACCAATGATAGAATCAGGCCAAACTTCTCACACAGAACTCCCATGACCAACAGATGGTCTTTGGTGACCCCTCTGACACCCCCTTGTGACCTCTTAGGGATCCCGACCCCCAGGTTGAGAAACGCTGACCTAGAGAAACACACTATTCAGTACAATGCAACTACCATGTGAGCAGTTGATTACTATATTAACCTGAGCTCTGTTAACGACATTTAACAATGATAAGGTGCATGACAGTGATAAACCTACTAAGCATCTGTTTGCAAACTTACACATTAATAATACTAAATCAAATAAAATGATAAAAAAGAAAAAATAGTACCAATAAATGTGGGGCAGAGGCCACAAACAAAATAAATGAAATATCAAACATATGAGAATTAAAGGAATAAAAAGAGTTAGAATTCTGCACACATCTACACAGAAACAAGTGCCCTTGAGTTCAGAAAGCAAAGAAACCTAGAAAAAAAATCCTCCCTCTACTCAACCAGTCAGACTCAACAGCTACATCTATTCCCAGCATGACATGGCCTTGTAACCAGGCATGTAGTCGGGGGGGGGGGGGGGGGGGGCTGGGGGGGCTTCAGCCCCCCCCAAATTCTCATGGTGGTTCGCGAAAAGGCCTTACTGGTGCATTATTTAAACTGTTATGTTTATTCATATCATGATCTGATCACCATACTCAATATATCCCATATGCATGGGGGTATTGGGGTAATGATACAAAAGGTTTGCTAAGGTAGACCCTCTTTCACTCAGACTCAGCCCCCCCCCGAAACAAACTCAGCCCCCCCCCCGAATCGAAATCCTGGCTACGGGCCTGCTTGTAGCCTACCAGATAAAAAGATGTGGTGAACACAACATGGCTGGACACCAAGAGACACTTTTATTCTAACAGCTCAAATCCCACTGACTGGTTAGATGAATCTGTGAAGTTTTTTTCCTCCTTTATTTGAACTTTTAAAATTCTCGTCTATAGTTTTATGCAATAATTTGTGAATTTGTGAATAAGTGAAGATCTCTGTTTTAAAGAACAACCTGATGCAAATTCTTCTCAGTTTCTACTATGAAAAATTCATGGATTGGGGAATCCCATAGGTCTCAGTGAAATCGTTGGGACATAATCATATGTACAATAGATATAACCTTAAGTCTAAAAAGAGAGACAGAAGATCTTTACCTGGGCGAGGATAGGATTTTTTAAAAACTTATTCCTTTGAGAGTCCGACTACATTGAATAGAGCTTTGTTTCTCTCTTCTTGGCTTTTACTGAAATATTGCCTAATGCCTTCCTGTTTTTATCTTCTGCAGAATAAGTTACATCTTCCTGACCCGCTCTTAACTGTTCAAGTTTCTCTTTGGTTTTTACTAGCCAGTTTGTGTAATTCCTTCAATTCAACAAGCATAGAAAAGTGTTTTTTTTCTTTTAAAAATGTCCAACTATCAGTGCTGAGAATCCTATTGAGATGACAGGCAGGATATAAATTCAAAAAACAAATTAAGTCTTCTGTCACACTTAAAAATGAGATGTGTGTTAGGCCCTTTCTACACTGCCATAGAAACCAGATTATCAAAGCAGACTATCCACATTATCTGCTTTGAACTGGATCATATGAGTCTACACTGCCAAATATTCCAGTTCAAAGCAGATAATTTGGTTTTTATATGGCAGTGTAGAAGGTGTCATACTTTAAGGATATCCAGTTTCTTTTCCTGTGCTTATTTATGCTTACTGCATGTTTTGCCACTTTCGAGTCGAGTAAGCATTATAGATGCAGGAGACAAAAGTTTAGCCTCTAATCTTCTAATCCTAGAAGATTAATTAACCAAGTCATATTTTACCATCCTTCTGGGAGACTTCGGGCGCTTCCAGACAGCCCTTTATCTCAGGAGCATCCACGTTGAAAAAATGCGGATGTTCCTGGGTCCCTATCCATGAGGGTGAGCCCGACCGAGGCCCCTGCTTTCCAGCTGATCTGACCAGCCGCAGGTAGTTCTGCAGTTCCTGGATGCCCCGTTGGACCAACTTCAATGGGATGTGCCCCAGCAGCAGCCTCAACCTGGAATTCTTCCACCTTCGAGCTCTCTCCTTTTCCTTTCTTCCCCGGCCCAAACACTGTAACTAACCCCTAATAAAGACTAATTGAATTGTAACATTCACCTCTCCCTAGTGATACATTGTGTCTAATCACTGACTGAAAGGTATCAAATCCATGAACCTATCCCTTTCCGAGCCGCGGGCAGCTGCTGGCTTGCCCGGGACACCTTCCAGGTGTCCCAGGGAGGCTGAAACTGCGTTTCTTTAAACCGCAGATACGGAAACCCCTTGGGCCCCCGTATCTGCGAGTTAACCAAACGACACCATTTTAATGCCATATTTTTCTTAGCCTAATTCTAACACTAACTGCTATCTCACTTTTTGCATTTCAGACTCTTACACTCTGGGAATAACTCTTTTATTTTTAAGAATATATTTTAATAAGAAACAGCTGATTGTCAAACTGGGCTTCCCGCTGCTGCACTGCTCCCGCCATCGCTTCTTCGCTCTCTTGGAGCCCCAGGACCCGGGGAACTTGATGTGGTCACCCCATGGGACCCTCAGGAAGTGGACTTGCCACCCTCGCTCCAGACCCCAAAGGGAGTTGTAGTTCTCCTTGGACGAAAGGCAAACTTTGGCGCCAGCAGTGCAGGACCACATGTCCAGGCTCAGTGGACTTACCAAACCACTTCTTATGATTTTTGAACCCTTTTTGCCCCACATCAAGGACTCTCTTTTTGTCATTATTGACTTTTCCCCTTATGGACTCTCATATTAAATATTGGACCTTCATGATGAACTATGGACATATGCTGAGCCATGATCAAGGTTTTCATCAATTTTCTATGGCTTTCTGGTGGGAGGGATAAGTGGTTATGTTTTTTTTATATCTTGCTTTCTACATTTTCCCCTTATGAATGTGACCCTTACTTGACCCTTCTGCCCTATTCCCCTTTATAAGGAAATGTATAAAATATAAAAAGCCACTCTCAGTGACCCTGGAAAGAAGGTAATCCCTTGATTGAAAGGAAACCCTGATAAGGACATATTTGCATGGACAATACAAAGGGCACCGATCCAAAGTCAGAGTCTGGCTGCTTGGGGGAAAATGCCCATTTAGCATGATTGACCATATCTCGATGGGACAAAGGGCCTTCAGAAAGCCACAATTTGTCCTGATCCGTTTACTCATTCAAGGTTCTCTCAGCCAAAACTACAAACAAGATTGCCCCATTGTCTCCATATCCTGGCTCAAGGAAAATCCAGATTCTGGCCAGTTCGCCAGACATCAACGTTGATTGCCACCCCTCACATACAATAGCCAGCCAGCTGGAAGGCCCCTGAGGACTCAATGGCCACTTGGACACCACATATTTCCATAATCCACTCAAGTTTACATTGTTTCCCCCTCGACCCTCCTCCCTCTCTCCTGATTTGCCAGGAGGCCAA